CAAACTAGCAAAATAAAGCAGTTTCAAATCAATGTGTCTGTGTATGTCTGATGTAAACAAAAGCATAACCTTTAGGATGTGTGTTCGTTTGTGAGGCTTGTAGCCCTCACAGATTGTAAGGTCACCAGGTTAGCTGACTTACAGCTTTTGAGGGTCATCTCAAAAAAGTGTTGCAGGATGACTGTGCTTTTATTGTTTATTGTCTTTTTTTCACAGAGCTAATAATCTTGCGGTGTATCTGAAAAGTCAAAACAGGCAGGTATGTGGTTAGGGTGTGTATTACACTGAGTTATTACCGGATATATATAACCTTATCATGTGTCTTCTGTTTGACAAAGGTTGTGTGTACAAATCTTACAAAAAAATGTATCCCAAAACTTGGAAATATGAGGAAGAATGGTTACCCTTCCTGTCTTTTAATAAAGGTGGATTAAACCTTAAACCTTTGAATATGCACTTTTTTATTGGTAATTTTGTTCTTCATTGAAACCATGTTCATATAAATTGTTAGAAAAAAGAAAATCACTTTATTCATAGCAAACTTCATTCATAGCAGGAACGGGAGGAGAGAGACAGGCCTGTAGTTTATAACATTGGACAGGTTGAGAGTGGGTTTCTTTAGGAGAGGGTTTACTCTTGCCTCCTTGAGACTGTTTGTAAAGTGACCAGAAGTTAGAGAAGTATTGATGAGATGGGTGAGAAACGGTAGAAGAATATGCACATGTCCAATAAGATGCATAAGATTGTTTCAGCTCTAGTTTATCAGAATCAGAATCAGAAACCGGTTTATTGCCAGGTAGGTTTGCACATACTAGGAATTTGACCTGATGTCATGGTGCATACATAAAATATAAAAAACAAGAAATCTAATATAAAACAAAAAATATTTTACACCGTAGTAAAATACAGTTAAATAGCAATACAAATAAAAATAAAGCAGTAATTTACATGGAAAGAGAATGCTATGAATGAATTTTAGAATATAAACTATGAAATGTGAAATAAGAATATGTGCAGTAAGGAGTATTTATGGCACTTTCCTCCAATGTAAACCCTCCTCCTTCCTTAAGGAGCTGGCAGGTCAAGTCCATGATGAGAGATAAAGGAGTGGCCTTTGACCATTTTGGGCCACTCTGCAAAATAACAATTTGTTTGAGGCTTAAAATGAATATAATGCAAGTGAGATTATAATCATTTGTTAATAACGGCTACTATAATTGTCTGTGGAGCCTAGTTAAAGGCCATTACTAAAAAGAAAATCACTTTATTCATAGCAACCTTCATTCATAGCAGTTTCATTACATTTCTTAAAAAGCTGGTAGAGCCCCCTTTTTCAAATTTGTTTCAATTGAGTGCATTTAGTGAGCTGAAGAGCTTTCCTCCGTCTATTTGAAGCTCACCGCATAGTTATCTAAAAATGGATTCCCTCAGGGCAACATTTAAAAACCGTGTAAAGGTAAATCCTCAATAAATGCTGTTTTTCTTTTTAGCTGTGGTCTCATTTACAGTTTCTTTTAATCTGCACTTTTTGAGGGCTCTCAATGGGATTTTCTCTGGGCTGGATGAAGGCTAATATAATGAATAACATCTCGAGAAAAGTGTTTCGCGTCTCTGCACTGTTGGTCTCCTGGTGCTCATTGATCTGCATGGTGCGCATCATACAATTGGATATTAATGGATTATTGCCATACATGCCAAAGCAACATAAATAAGGGTTGTTTAATCCCAGAGTTGCAGTTCAAATTTCTGCCCTGTACGAAACGTTTTTACAATGCTCAAAACTTCACCCCCAACTTGACTAATGTGACTTTATTGCAAGTTCAAAAAGGTTAACAGTCAAAATGCTGCATGTTGGTGTGACACGCCTTACCTTCCCCTTCCCTCCCTCTGAAGGATCTAAAGGGACTGGGTATGTGAAGAGGGTCGGGTGTTGCATGCTGAGTGATGACGATAGCCGACCTAACTAAACCCACCCCACAGTTCATTTGAATGCCCGCGCACGGCTCTCTCCCTGCGCGTCACCGTGTCTCCCGTTGCTCCGCGTTTATAAGGCGCCCCGGTGCGCAGAAAGGCACAAGCATGCCTCGTCTCTAGAGAGGCAGAGCGCATCGAAGTGACTTGGAGACATTTGTGGATGACAGACCTGTGCGGCTGCTGCTGAGGAAGAGACGCGCAGGACTTTTATCCAAGTTCACTGCAGCGGGTGGTTGTGAGAGTGACTCTGTTCTCAGGGGTGAGTAGTTGGATTTATTTACCCGTGCTCCCTTTATTTGTTCTTTCTGTGGTTGCGCATTCCCCTGGTTGGTTAGGCTGTAGAAAGCTATAATGGAAAGATGGAGCGTCCACTAATGTGCGGACCTGTGGCTAAGAAAGGATGCATTTATTTTGAGAAATGTCTTCGTCTCATCAAATATAGAAGTTTGAAACCTTTTTAGTTGAGTTGTTTTTCGTATTTTTGTCAAACAAGTGTCGACGGAACTTGTTGCTCTTAAATTAAGGCTCGGTGGGAACATCTTGTGCATTTTCGCATTCGATTGCATTGAGGAGGGAATGAAATCAGATGCATTTTAATTACTTTTTCTTCCATGTTTATCCGAAAATGTGTTTCACATTTTTTCATTATGTTTTAAAGGAGATTTACATCATGTTTTCTTAGCATGTTGGGATTGTAGCAGTACGCAGTTCTGTAGCTGCTTGTAGGCTGCGTTTGGACTTATTGTGACATCAGAAATACCAGGGGAAGGATTTGTTGTTTTTACAGTCAGGGAAATGTTACCAAATTGTAACACCATCAGGTTTATCAGATGACATGTTAACTGATGCATGGATTTGAAACCTGAATTGCTGTATCGTAATTTATGATGTTAATGAACAGAAACTAAGCCAACCTGACTGTGGGATCCCAAACAATTAAACTCATATTTATTTAGGAAAGGTCACCGTGTAAACAATATAAAGTATACAAATTAAGCTCAGGCCCCCGCTGCAGAAAAAAGCAAAAACCTTACAACGGGGGGAAATCCCTTCGTATTTACAGAGAAACAAACCAGGAATTTACTTTTAATAACTGAAAAGCTACCAGAGTTTATGTAGAATAGACGGAGAATCGTCATCAGATCATATAACCCTGAATCAGGTGGGAAATGGTCTCACCTGTCTATTTTTAATAAATATTAATAGAGAATCCACCTCCCCAATCCAGACGCAGCAGCATTCTGAAAAAAAGAGAGTTGTTAATATTCAGAGCACATTTCCATCAATATATTCACCTCCATTATTGGCAATTTCTGATCTTCGTAGGGGGCAGCTACAAAGAGTGAAGATTAAAGGCCCGCCTGCTGAAGTTATTCCTGTGCCCCAGGACAGTTCTTATGAACTGCGCCACTTTTTCCAGCCACGAACTGTTAACCAAAGCCCTGACCTGACCAGGTCAACGTTTGATTGAATCAGTGGGTGAGGAGTTCATTTGGTTGAATTACTTTTTATTTTACTTGAGGCAAGAATATGAACCTTTTCGTGTGGAAGTTGTATATTTATCACAGAGACTCATAGCCATTACCTCTGCTGTTGGAATAAGTACAAAAAACAACCTTTGAGAACTGATGCAGAGGTGTAGAGAAAACAAAAAGTGGCAGCGTTCACAGGCAGCTGTGAAGTCAGAGCGCTGACCTTGGTGCTGAATTGTTCCCTCTATATGGCGCGTGCCTGCCCCCATTTACTGACTGCGTAGCACGCGTACATTTTTTTCTTTTTTTGACATACTATACATTCCACGCGACGCCACCCACGCGGCCAGATGCTACGACTTCAAAGGAGGTAGAATGCTTTATTAGCGTCTGGCAGTGCTTGTATGAGGGAAGAGGCTTCTTTTTGTTTCTTGAGTTAATTTTGAGAGCAGGAACAATGAGGCACGAGGGGACATAATGGGGCTCGAGGAGCGGAGGGACCGGCTTTAGTCGCATGCCTTCTTGTTTGGCTCAAAAGTTAAGATTATGCAAAGACACGAGCGAACATAATGTGCATGTGGCAGTGCATTAATACCAGAAGAGGCTGAAGTGTTGGCATTTCTTAGGAGTGCACTTGTTGTGTTTATTAGAAGAAATTAGCCCTGTTTATTCTCAATATTTGAGGAGATACTTTTGTTATAAACACCATAAGTAAAGTTAGTATAGTTTCAAAGGTCTCTCAACTTTGTGTGAAACAAAAACGATTATCTTGGAGATGGAGTAGGAAAGTATAGTTATCAAACTTTGTACAATTATTCAGTAATGTTAAAAGTCCTACACCCACACCAGCAAAATACTGTATATCTGAAAGAATATGTTGTTTGCACCTATACGATGATAACATGTTAACCGTTAAATACACTGCCTGGTGGTTTAATCTATAATAGTCCATCATACAGTATTTATCACTGATCATGTTTTTCCCATTTCAAATGTAATATGCCGTAACTATAGCTGTTAAATAAACATAGCAGAGTTAAAGGTGCAATATTTCCGTTCATTCAAATTCAGTGACATAGAGGTGTTAAGGAGCATAAAATATAAATACCACACAATTGTACTAAGTAATTGAGTAGATACTTTTCATCATTGGACAAAAGAGACTGCAGTTGCTCACTTCTCTAGTTTGATGAATATTTATCTTTGGAGTCTTACAGTTTGGTACACGTTTGGCCACTGTAATGACAGTATTGATGATCACAGAAGTACCAGCAGGTAGGATGATAGACTCTGATGTGCATGACCACATTTGTATTAGTAGCTCAATAGCACTTAATGATCCCTATCATATTACACTCTCCTTGAGTGACTCATATACCCGCTTTGACTTATCAACACACTGTAAACAAATCATGCAGCAAAGGTAATTTCCTCTAAAACTAATAGAACTTCTATTTCCTCTCCTCCTTCTGTTGCTTTTCAGACACATCCCTGGGGACACGCATATACCCAGACTCAAACACACACGGGCGATCACACACACACACGGGCACCATGCAGGAGTCAGAGCCCACAGTGTGCCAGCTGCAGCCCAACATCATCTCAGTGCGTCTTTTCAAGAGGAAGGTCGGTGGGCTGGGCTTCCTGGTGAAGCAGAGGGTGTCCAAGCCGCCTGTCATTGTGTCGGACCTGATCCGTGGGGGGGCGGCAGAGGAGTGCGGCCTGGTGCAGGTGGGCGACATCGTGTTGGCGGTCAACAACAAGCCCCTGGTGGAGCTGTCCTACGAGCGGGCCCTGGAGACGCTGAAGAACGTGATGGTCGAGAGCCACGCCGTGCTGATCCTCCGCGGGCCTGAGGGCTTCACCACCCACCTGGAGACCACCCTATCCGGAGATGGCCGCCAACGCACAGTGAGGGTCACACGTCCCGCCTTCCCACCCTCCAAGTCCTACGAGCACTGCTCCCCTCTGAGCCCCTTCAGCCCTGGGCAGCAGCAGCAGGTCAACAAGGAGCCCCAGCTGAGGGCCATTGAGAACCTGTCCACTCCGTCCATCCCCCAGGACCCCCTGCTGAGCCGCGGGGCGCTCCTGTGCAACGGGATGGAGGAGAACAACGAGCTCCTGAAGGAGATCGAACCAGTGCTGCGCCTCATCAAAAACAGCAAAAGGGAGATCAATGGAGAAGGCCAGAGGAACGTGGGGAGAAGAGATGCCCAGATTCAAGTGGCCAGGTAATATGTGATGCTACCTTATTGATCCCTCAGTTAAAGGAATACCTCACCTATGAAATGATATGCGGATATCAACTACTGCCCTGTTTAACCTTATATTCTTACAAGCACTATGTCTTGCAGGCTTCTACGGTGAACGAAGGAACAAAAAACTGAGAAAAGTCTTAAATGAAATAAATGGGGATCGTTTGTAAACTTTAGAAACATGTATGCAGTCTCAGTTATCCAGTCATACGCTAACAACTTCCTTAACAAATTAATTCATTACTGTATGAAACACTACTTGCCCATGCTAGTCCAAAATGCATTTGGCTGTCTTAGAAAGGTCTCCCATTTATTTCAGTTCATCAAGACTTTTCTCAAATGTTTGACTCTTCCTTCATCGTGGAGGCATGCGAGAAAAACAAAGTTTCGTGAAGAATTCATGGTAACACCTAGTAAGTAATTGATATACACATGGTCATTTTCTGTGTTAAGTATTCCTTAAGAGTGTCTTTGTGCTTGGTCCCTTTCACATTGCAGGTTGGTGTCAGAGACTAGGGAGGATAAGAATCACAATTTAGATCAAGAACTCGTCAACAAGGTGGTTATTAGCTAAGTGTACACCTGGCCCTCTGATTGAAAGGAAGTCCCACTCACTTTGACACCCTGCCGTCCCTAAACTCCTTGACCCAGCTGCATTGTATTAGCAGCTACAGACAGGCACTAATATGACTCAGAGTACAGTGCCAAGTAATTACTGTCTGCACGCTGAGCTCCAACAAACATCAATTAAGAATACATGGCGCACAACATTCATCATGTCTACTAGTTTGCTATTCTTCCATTACTGGGGCTCTTTTTATACGTTCATATGAACTTCTTTAAACCAAAAATGTAGCTTGCCCATGGTAGTTTCAAAATACACCAAAAGCAGCGAATAAGACCGATGACGATTATTATTATTATTATTATATTATAATATTATTGTTGCTGATGGTTGTGGTAGAGCAGCTGTAGATTTTGCACTAAAATCTGTATCATGGTCAGTAGCGTCTGGAGCACGAACGCAACCCTGTGATCCGCCATTGTTGTTGGCAAAACGTATCAGCAATGAGGCGGAGGTGGGGAAAGGCGGGGCTATGGCGTCATCGTTTTCAGGAAATGATCGTATAGGGCGTACACACGGAGCCGCAAGCGTTTCGTCCTCAGACCTACCCACTTTGGGAGCCGTTATCAAAGCTCGTCTCACACTCGTCATTAGACTGTTCATTATCATCTTCCAAGAGAGTGAATCGTTTCTAAACAGTCCTTCTTGGCTTGTGAGGTCATTTGCAGCAATATTTCATCAGGCAATTCGTGGAGTGTGAAAATCTGTATATGCCACACGTCTCCTTTTCAAATATTTTGAAGGAAGACTGACAAATGTTAGACTTAGATTGCTTTTAGCTTGTCTTAAGTGTTCATTCTGTACCAGCGTTTTACACGGCTTCACAGTCTGAGCCCATATTCTATCCCGGACTCTAAGTGGTCTGCACAGTGTACTGTTGATATTGACGTCTCAGTTATCTGCTATTGTACTCCTACGACCAATTGAAATCCAATTGCGGCTTCAGTCAGTTGTTAAATGACTTTCTTAATAGGGTTCAAGCGTATATATCATTTAAAAACATGTTGACATTTGGTCGGCACTAGGAGAGAGCTTACCTTATTTGATTTACTCTTATGGCTTTGGAAAAATGCGTATGAGAACAATCATTAGTATACATTATTTTGAAAGGGCATCAATATCGAATAAACCCTAAAATAATTGTAATCTATTTGCTTGGAAAGGAATGGCACATTATTGCTGATTTACTGCTTTTTATTTTTTTAACAATCTCACAATTCAGCATGAGGCTGATGACGCTCTTCGTCAGAGCTAATGACTAGTGACATATGCAACTCCTCTGCATGTTTCTGCATGTCTGAACTCCACCTCTGAATGGAGGGGGATAAACATCCTCATGCAAATTGCTATGATAAAGAGATACAGTGTGACAGGGAGTGTGAAGGGGAGAAGGGAAGCCTGTAAGGATTTACAATTAGCATAGACACGTGATTATAAGAAAGTTAGGGGGGTGGGAAACTGAATACAGTAGACTGGATCTGCGTTTGGGCGGTTTTGATTGGAGGAACGCAAACTGTGTTTATTCGTTTATTCATGTCTCGTGTTGTTTAACACAGCGGCATTACAGTGTCCTCCCCCCCCCCCTTCTGCTTTAGTCTCTTACGATCTTATAGTTACAGCTCAGCGAGAGACCTCCCTGTTCATGTCGTAAACTGTATCCAATGTGAAACGAAAGTCGAACATCTATATTGTAACTTGGTTATGATGTGTTTGAATGACCAAATAGGACTAAGCCAGAAAGAGCTTCACTTGCAAGCCGTCAGCCGTATCTATTTTCTAATTCATACTGAAAATAAATTGATGTTTTTTTAAATGTATGGAAATAGATGTCAAACTGCAAAGAAATATTATCAAAAAAGACTAAGACTGAGCCTTTCTATTAAGAAAGACCTGGACAATCTCAGATCCTTGCATTTTTTTCCGATGTTTTGGGACTTATTTAATCTGATAAATAGTATTTATGTTATCTGTAGCCTCAGGTCATTTGAAATGGTCTACAGGCAAAACTAATGGAATATCAGTCTTAACCTGTTCTCACATGTCTAAATGCAGAGAACAATGCAAAGAAAGTTAGCTACTGCCGAGAAACCTTAGTAAAGTTTTAACTTCCTGGGTAAACTCAGTTCAGGGGTGTCAAACTCAATTTCCTCTCGGGCTACAGTAGCATCATGGTTGCACTCAAAGGGCCAGTTTTATATATAAGACTATATAAAAATACAAATATAAATATTTAATAATATAAAATAATGTATTGTATTACATTATTGCCTCTGCATTGGATTATTATCAGATAGGGTAGTAACTTCATAATCAACTACGTCTGAAAGCAGAAGTCTAGGGCAAATAATTGCAAGTCCCTTCAGTGTGCATGTCACAAAATGATTTAAAAAGAAAAGCCAAATTCTGAAAAAAAAATCTATTTATGAGAAAAAGGCTAATTTGATGAAAAAAAGGCTTATTTGGACAAGAAAAGTCAAATTCTGAGAAAAAATGCATACTGTATGTTGAAGAAAAAAAGTTACATTCTGAGGAAAAAGTCAAATTTGAGATGCATTGTGGGACATGTCGTTTATGGGCACCGTGCTTCTGTAAAGTAGCATGTAACCGTATAATAAACATATTATATTCTTTGCAAGCTCTTGTGGGGCCACATAAAATGAAGTCGCGGGCCAGATTTGGCCCCCGGGCCTTGAGTTTGACACCCCTGACCTACAGTGTACCTAAAAAAATATTACAAAACATTATTGAAATCACACATGCAATGACAATACACCTTTTGCAATTCACTTTTAGGTCTCCGTCCCCATCTTACAAGGGTCTTTCCTTAGGAGTTTTTGTAGCATACGCCCACTTCTTTTTGAGTGAATTTGGAGCACAGCTGTGGAGAAAGAATTACTTAGGCTGACCTCCATTAAGGATCACATTGTCCCAATGCAGCACCGCAACAAAAGTGAACAAGAAACACTGGAGAGCCTGATAGAAGCCAAACGATCTCCATCTACACACCCACGGAGGCCTGAAGAGAGAAAACACCTATGTGGGTGTGCAGAGATCCCTGAGTAAAAAGCATTTTGGAGCGTGTACAAGTCCCCGGTTCATTTATTTGTAAAGACAGAAGAAAGGTGGCTTGTTCACTGTTTCAATGCCATTCCAAGTGTGGCATTTTTTTCTTTTACATGAAATGAAATAACTATGTTGCAACAGATGTGAGCAAACACACCTGACAGAAAATGGTTTATGACCCCCAGGGACCTTGGCGTGGGAAATGGCACGTCTCCCCAGCTGGCGTCAGATAACAACAGAATGCTGGAAAACATGCCGGTGGTGCTCCACAACGCTGACACTAACAAGGTAAAATGAAACAAATGTTCAAGCCTTCAAATGATTTTCCGAGGAAGACAAATCACTTGTAAGCACACGTTTGTGTATCTTTTAGATCAATAACCTGCAAATCCTCCCCGTGTTTGCAAGTGTGTATGAGCAGGCCGGCTACAGTTAGTGAATCGTTGCAGCTGTGTAATACATGTGCATCCATGTCTGAGTTTTCTTTTAGCCCTGTGCATTAATCCACACGATTGGCACTTGCGATGCTTTCAGAAACTGAGCACGCACATCTGTGTTGCTTCTTTGCTCATAGTAGTAAAGCCCTTGCTTAAGATCCCATCACCTAGGCATTAGATCCTTCCGGGAGGTAAGCTTGTGCGGCATTAAATCCAGCTTATGCCTTCCACATAGAAGGGTCTGGTCACAAGTCTGAGAGTCTGTGACAGGGATAGTGTCGTAATCTGCACATGGTCGGCGTTATCCACCCACTTGTGACGCTGCTCGATCCCCTCTCAATGGGACCGGATGGGGCAAAATGATTCCAGGAGGTCTAATGAATACATGCAGCTGCTGATCCGTCACTCTCTATCAACTGTGGCTCCTGTAGAAACGTTCAAGCCCCTCAGACATGCAGAGAAGAGAGTGTTAATGTGCATGCTTATGAGAATAATTGTGTGAGAGTGCTGGAAAGAGGAAGGGAAGAAGGGGGGTGGGTGGGTGGGTGGGGTTGGTTTGGGTGATGCATTCTTAGCAGTGGCACTAGAGGATATGTATGTATGATGTGATAGCTAGATCTTTGTCTTGGGAGTGTGTGCTCGGACTGAGGACATGCATGCTTTTAGAAAAGTGTGGGAAGTGAAAGCAGTGTGTGTGTGTATCAGTGGCCAGTATATGCATGTGTACTGACTCATGCAGCAAGAAGCTCCCCTGCAGGCGTTTCTCTAGACACTGATGCTGACTTTGATGGCTCATCGCTAAGTGTTTAATTCGATAGACTCAGACAGTAAAAGAAATGTCAGGACATGTAAGGCAGATTGACATGGATTGCTATGTTAACGGCCAACACGTTTCTCACTTTGGAGAAGGATATGCTCTTGTTTTTGCTTCTGCTGCTGCCTGATATAATGTTTGAAAAGCCTGTTGTCTAAAAAAGGTGGTAAATGTTCCGTCAAATTCCACCAGCTGCCTTTTGATTATCCATTAAAAACAGAATATATTTGTCTTTCTATACACGCAAGGGCTTAATTAATTAAATCCCGATTGTCAAACCATAAATGCACATGACTAAACCATATCAATATTTAACGCGTACCATGTCTTTCCATTTCTCCGGCTGTCAGTCTCACTTTCTTCCTTTCTCGTTTCCCTTTTACCCCCTACCTTGCTCTCATCATCTCCATTTCCCATCAGACATTTTAATTGATGGGTGTTTAAGGGAACTTTTATTCTATAACTGCATTTACCAGAATGACTTTGGTCATTACGCCCCGTTATGAAATTATCTTTATCAGATTATCTCCAATTATCTTCATTTCTAGCTTCATAGATGCTTCCTACTGTTACATCCACACCTTATTTTTGACATTGAGGCTTGATGACATATGATGGGATTTCAAAAGTCTGCGTGGTCCAGCAACTTCTCCCAGTAATATGGACTAGATCAGGGAAGTGTGTCTCACAAAGAGACTGGACTTTGTGCATTAGAACACAGATCGATTACAATCATCTCTTTATCTCTTTTATTATCTCTTTATATTAGGATAAACTATAATGTCAGATATTTTTCTGTAAATAATTTTTGTAGAGCTTTACAATATTATCGTGGCAGATTTGGACTCTTGACTCTCAGTAGGTATGTTTCTAGGTTATTGATTTCAGTCAGAAGTAGATAAAAGCATGCTGTCATGTAGTGGGAGACTGTTGATTTCGGACTTCAATGAAAACTGTTGCTGCCTGATTTTGAGTCAGCTGTAGCTAGCTAGCTAGGTAAGTTAACGTGAGTGGGTTTAAAAATGTTTTCAGCTAACTTTACTTTTTTGTTTAAACTTCTCGTTTTACATTGAACAACAGGAACTAGGCACAGGTAACTCTTAATGTCAGGATCCAGTGTTAAGGAATATTTTGCTTAGATGCCTGCCTTTGACCCAGTTCATTCTTTACTTGGTCTCTCTGGCCATGGCCCAGGCATGCTGCCTTGGGGTATTGATGTTATCTCTCATACCCTAGTTACTTTAGTCAACCATACTCGCGTATGCTTTATTTGACTAAGGATTGTGCAAGATAGAATCTATGGCCCGACCTTGGCTCTTACACCTTGGTATCTTGAATGTACTGATACTTCACTGTCCGTGGTGCTGAAGCAGCAGATGGATTTGTAACTCTGTAATATTCTCTCAGTCTCTGCCTTTTTGTGAGTTTTGTTTTGAATATATTATATTCCCATAGCTTACAGGTATAACTTTAAAACGCCCACTAAGTATAGGGGATTACTTAAATGTTCTCAATACAAAATTAAGAGCGTAAGGATTTTCTACACACAAAGGATTTCTCTATACAATCCTAACTTGACGTCACTAAATTATGCTTTTGATTTTGGAAAGGCTAACAAAAGACACCAGTCTTAAAAAAGAACCTTGAAATGCCACTTTAGCATGTGGAGAAATCCAAAGCTTGGCTGTGACACAAGCTCCCCTGTGTCAGGGATCAATCCCTATTTACTATAGAGTGCACAGTATTTACCATCTGCCATCTGATTGTCCAAATTGTGAGTAAATCAACCCACTATAAAGTGCTTACAAATTCCACATTGTAATAAGTAAAAGAATGACTTTGAAGAATCCCACAATGCAAAAATACTGTTCAGCAACACTTCAGCAGACATGATTAGCGTTTAATGACTAAACCGTTGCACATCTATTATTTAGGGAGTATTGAATAAGTGAAAAAGAGAGTAAACTGAAAGATCAGCTGAACCTACTAGATCAGGGGTGTCAAACTCAAGGCCCGGGGGCCAAATCCGGCCCGCGACTTCATTTTATGTGGCCCCACAAGAGCTTGCAAAGAATATAATATGTTTATTATACAGTTACATGCCACTTTACAGAAGCACGTTGCACATAAACGACATGTCCCACAATGCATCTCAAATTCGACTTTTTCTCAGAATTTGACTTTTTTTCTTCAACATACAGAATGCATTTTTTCTCAGAATTTGACTTTTTCTCATAAATAGATTTTCTTTTCAAAATGTCACTTCTCTTTTTCAAAATGTCACTTCTTTTTTTGTTTTTCCAGACTGTGGCTTTTCTTTTAAAATCATATTGTGACATTCTTACTGAAGAGACTTGAAATTATTTGCCCTAGACTTCTGCTTTCAGACGTAGTTAATTATGAAGTTATTACCCTATCCGATAATAATCCAATTCAGAGGCAATAATGTAATATAATACATTATTTTATATATATATTCAATATTTATATATGTCTTTTTATATAGTCTTAAAGTTACAACCGGCCCTTTGAGTGCAACCATAATGCTGATGTGGGAGGCTGTGGCTCAGTCGATAGTGTGCTGGACTTCGAATCAGGCGATAGCAAGTTCAAGTCCCACTGCAGTCAGCATGTCGTTGTGTCCCTGGGCAAGACACTTCACCCCAAATTGCTCCTGTGGGGACTATCCACAGTACAGTACGCTTTGGATAAAAGCATCTAACAAATGACATGTAATGTAATGTGGCCCGTGATGAAATTGAGTTTGACACCCCTGATTTAGGGGAAGGAGAAGCCCAACTGTATACTGTGTACATGATAGGATGTATGATTACCCAGAAGAGCATCAGTAGGGGCGCCGTTTGCCGGCAGGCAACTGCTTGGGGCCCCGGACCAGAAGGGGGCCCCCAAAGAAGGTCGATAAAATCGCTCCAAAGTTGAAAAAGTTGGGTATATTTACAGGGACTGTTGCAAAAACCAAGCAGCTTATAAACATTAGATTTTAAAACAAAAAGGAAACGCCATTAAAGATTTTTGGGGTTATTTTTAATCCAAGATATGCTGATTTGAAACCGTTGTTACGAAAGGTTACAGCATTTCCTGTTTCTGCCAGAGAGAGGGGAGTTCGTCCCTAAGCTTGCCGCTGTTCTTACACCCTCCACCTGGAAGAAGGGAGCCTCGTGACTACAGACGGAGTTCACTCCATCACGGAGAGGAAGTAGCTACGGTGTGGTTTGGAATTGGGCCTCAGTTTCGCAATCTCCACTCCGCCGGGTTTTTTTGGGATATTGTAAGACCTGATTTACAAGAAAAGCACTGCGGGGGGGGGGGGGGGGGGGGGGGTAGTAATCATACAGTCATCATGTACACAGTTACAGTTAGGCTTCTCCGCCTAAATCCATGCAAATGTTGAGAGGCCAAGAACAACCCCACCCCCCCAGTGCATTTCTTGTAAATCAGGTGTTCTAACATATATCCAGGGCGATTAAAGTTCGGTTAAAGGTCCCATCATATGCTTTTCCGGTTATTACCCGTCCTTTCGTGTGTTATGTAGCTTTTTCTGCATGTAAAGTCACAAACCCTCGAAGTACAGTACGTTTTTTCTTCCGGGCAGTGGCGGATATTGATATGGGCGACATGGGCGGTTGCCCAGGGCGGCATTTCGACTGGGGGAGGCACAAGCGCAATGAAAACGTTTTTTTTTTTGTATCACCAATTTGCACGTCATTTCATGTTGTGTATTGTTGTGGTTGTGGGTCGAAGGGGGCGCGGCCGCCCTTATGACAGCAGACAGCTGGAATGGAAGGTCTCACACTCTAAGAAGGGCAGGGGTGATCTCAGGTCGCCTCACTATGGTGGAGAGAGTCCAAAACATAAAGTTTAGGTTGCTAACTTGCCATCAAACTCATTAATGTGCAATTATATTCATTGTGTGGAATATACTTATTGTTGTTTACAGTATATGTAAATCCTCCTGGTACCCAGCCCATTGAAAATGTCCACTGTAGTGGACATTTTGTTAACATGCAACTCTTTTGAGCTACTCTATCAATCCCTGATGTACTGTACTGTACAGAGGAAATCCTGGTCTTTCCAGTGATATGTCATTGGTTAAAATTAAAAAGTCACTTCTCTTTTTCAAAATGTCACAATCAATGTTTTTCCAAAATGTGGCTTTTCTTTTAAAATCTTATTGTGACATTCTTACTGAAGAGACTTGCAATTATTTGCCCTAGACTTCTGCTTTCAGACGTAGTAGTTCATTAAGAAGTTATTACCCTATCCGATAATAATCCAATGCAGAGGCAATAATGTAATTATTATATTTATATATGTCTTTTTACATCGTCTTAAAGTTACAACCGGCCCTTTTGAGTGCAACCATAATGCTGATGTGGCCCGTGATGAAATTGAGTTTGACACCCCTGTACTAGATGCATTTGCCAAGCTATGATTGGACAATCTCTTTTAGCGGGAGGGATTTCGATTGAGCAATCTATTTGACACACAATTACCTCCCTATCGATCCTGGCTGATGTCAGTCCTTTCCAAACATGTAGTTAATGGTCACTCAATAGCTGACTTTCCACTCATGTAAATGTTTTCAGGGGCGAGAAAAGATGCTACATTAACTCTGACATTTTAAATTGACATCACAACGTGTGTATAAATGAGGGAAAAGTAAACTGACATTTACAGGTTGTTCATATAAACAGACTTTGTTAAACGTAAATGCCAGAGCTATAGCTTCCGGTCAGTGCGCAACACGAATTTATAAATGTTCACTTCATACACATAACGGCTCTGCTTTTCCTGTCAAAAAGCTTGAATTCTCTGATTTTCTTTGCCTGTTTGACTGAGAGGTTTTTACGCTCCGATGGTCTTCCTTCCTGTCCACAACCTCAGTGATCATGTGGCATATCTGAGGGGGTTACTGCTGTTGGCGCATGAACACACAGGAACTAAGCGCTTTACTATCAGTATGTGCAAAATCAAATCAAATCCAATTCAATCCATCTCATTCCTCTCCGATGTTTGAGAGGATGCAAAATAACAATGCGACTCAACTGGCGTGACTCTGTCGGTATTCAGGTCCCAGTCGAGTGTGATGATTGTGGCACAGTTGTTCAGGAGATGCTCCACTGTGTCATTAACAATGCAGAGGGAGATGATGAAAGAGCTTCCAAGGTGTGGGATTGATTGCTCTGATAATTGGACATCACTCTGTGCCTTTCTCTTGGAACGTGTACAGTTTGCTTCGGGGTTAAATTGCAGGCATTCATTTTAGTCAATACAGCCACCATATTGGAAAACCAAGTGAGCCAAAGTAAGCTTGCCATCAACCTGCTGTTAAATGTTGATTGCCTTTATCCTTGAGTGGGAACTAAACCAGAAATGGATAGGGGAGGCAATGTGAAGAGTTTCTGTGTTGGTGAGGCTTAAACACAATGACAAACGGATCATTCCCTGTGGTCCACAAAGAAAGCCTCCAAATGGTTGCAAAAGTTCCTCCATATATTGTTTGTGTTATTCCCATCTTAAACCTGCCAATCAATGTCCATTTGAGGTAGTTTGAGGACAATGCATGACTGTCTCTTACCACAGTATGACTCATAAGCAATGTATCCATGCTTGGAGCAAAGGTCAGAACCCATTAGCCATATATAGTTCAAAGGCATGAAGTAATGACTCGTGTGTCCTTTTCTGTGTGCTCTTTCCAGCCCCCGGCTCTGGGAAGGACCTCACCCACTAAGTCACTTCAGAATGGAAGCCCCTCCAAATGCCCCCGCTTCATTAAGATCAAGAACTGGGAAACTGGCACCCTCTACAATGACACACTCCACCACAGCTCCAGCAAGGTAAGCCATATGGAAATCAGCTCAATTAAGGGTTAGATTAAGCAGTCTGCTTCAACATTTACATATTTACATTTGTTGCTGTGGCAACCATACCGGCAAGGATGAGAAAGATGTTGTGATTCAAGTCGTCATATAATATCCAGGATTTCTATGCCAGTGATGAACCTTATGAACATGAATACATTAGGAACATGTTTGCTGAAATAAGAAAAATCCAGTGAGAATTCCATCTAATTTAAAGGACAAAGCGGGCCATGCCGTCCAAATTGACACATAACATTTCCTGGTAAAAGACAACTCTCAATAAGACAACATTGGCTATTGAAAATCAAGACTATTTTCTAATCTAACATCACAAAGGTTAAGGCACAATTAGGGTTAGGAAAAGATAATGATATGGGTTATTACTTGGCTAATGTTGGGGTACCTTCATCATCATGGTTACAATAATAAACATTTAGTCTATGAGAAATTACAAACATTTCCTGACAAGTTTATGGTTTCGATCAAAAAGTTTGAAATACGTCTTATCCCTTTTCATCATTGGTTTTTTCCGTTTGATCAGGCAGCCAAAGCTTCTCCCTCTAGTTAAGAAGCCAGTCTAACAAGCACAAGGTGAACCCCGCTGTTTAAGCATTCACCCCCCAAATCACAGTAGCCATTTGTGAACAGCAAACGGCAGCCTAATTACTTTGGTGACTTATCGAACACAGACTGTGCATCCCAATGAATGGCCTCTAATAGCATCTTCAGATTTATTATATATCACAGACGCTGCTGTATTCGAGGATGATCCGTCTTTTTCGAAAAGGACAGCTGGCTGGCATGAATGCCCAGAGCGGTATAATGAGCGGACGTGCTGGAGCACGAGCGATTCCTTTGTTTTATTTTTAACACTCCCTGCTTTACTCATCCATTACCCCTTTTTACTCTGTCACCTCTTTCTGTTCATATCTTTCCTTCTCTCATGTTGACAACAATCTTTCCTCAGCTTCCTTTTTCTTTCAAATGATCCCTTTATTTTTTTATCTTTGTTATTACAGAATCTTTCACGCATTTTAACTCGGTTTTTATTGTTGTTGACTGGCTGTGATGGTGTGTTTGTTGTGTTGCTCAACATATTTGTTTCTCTTCTCTGTTTTTGTCGAGCGAGGGTTGGATTTGTTGGAAGGCACACAGAGGGAAGTTTATTTTGGACAGACTGCCGGTCCACGTCTGAGTGTTTGGACAGTGCAAGTGTGTGGTTCAGCGTAACAAGCCAATTTTAGTAGCGATGGGGTCAGTGTCAAATTTCCTCTTCGGCTGCACGCCTGCGCTATCCGTCCTGCCGTCCGCTCTGGCTCACTCATTCCATCTCTCTCTGAGCTGGTGAAGGCATTTAGGCAAACCAAAGTGACAGCTGACTTCATCTCTAATCATATTAAACTGACCACACAAGGTTGCTCTCAGCTATGAGCAATTCTCTCCCTGCATCTCTGTTTACTTGTTTTCTGTTTTGTATCCTCGCTCTTTCAGTCTTCCTGCCCTGCTTAAAAGAAGGATACCAATCCATGACTCACCGACTTACTCATTCATTAACATGCGTGCCAGCCATGTGTGAACAATATCATGAAAGGAATTGTAAAACAGTTATGATGCCTTGTTTGCATTCAGAGTCCGGAGCTTATAATAAAACATGACCTTGCGTCTGAACCCTGTGGGACTAAATATCAAGATGAACCCTTTCCAGTGCAGTTGGATGTGATCTACCAATGGCCTGTAGGCCTTTACCTATTAAAATATGTATTTGTTCTAGTTTATTTCTTATTGACAATTTATTTACCTTTATCCTTGAAAACGCATTAAAAGAGAGGTTTACTCCTAGGCACCCTGAGAGCCTTCTATCAGAGGGATAAAGAAGTGAGGGGATTATGGCTCACACACAGTAAGAAAAGGAGAGAAAAGTAAAAAGTGAATACAATAGGAAAACACTTGTGAATGATTCCATTTGCCTAAAGTGTAATTCAAGCATGCCTTGGGTCTGTTTCATATCAAGCAGAACCAAGACCTAGAGGGTTAATCTAAAATGAATAGAGGGGGAAGGTAATATGATAGCTCTGCCTTTTGTAAATGAATAGGATGCCATGCATCTCTCATTTTGCATCTAGTCACAACACAGACGTGAGTACAGAAACTGGCTCTTGTCAGTGAACAGTAATCCCGAAGACCTCTGAAATATGTTGAAGAATTCTTTGTCCAATTCAAAGAAAGGAACACCTCTATGTTGTGAACTGGGAGGCAGCATTGTGTCTTCTTTTCCTTTAGTTGAAAGTAAATGTTGAGGATATTTGCTGATATAATATCAGAGAGCTGTACCATATGCAATGATCTCCTGGCTCTTCAGATGGATTTTTGGCACTAACGAAAAGCAAACAAGCCGATTTAACCCCCAAAATCCTACCTCATTTGTCATAATATTGTCTCATCAGATGCCACTCTGTAATGAAAATGTGTGCATGGGCTCCATGATGATGCCGCCCCCTGTCCGCAAACCAGACGAGTTCAGAACCAAAGAGGAGCTTCTTCCACTGGCCACTGACTTCATAGACCAGTACTACACCTCTATCAAAAGGTAAGCATGGCCTGTAACAGCTGATAGTTGTGACTCAATAGAGTGCTGCAGAAAATACATTTGTATTAGGCCAACCAGAAAGTAGGCGTCACACTGGTTTCCTTCACACACAAAAAATACGATTTTTTTAAATGCAATTTAGAGTGAGTGGGTTAGGTAGACTGAACATTAAAGGGTAGGGTAGTTACTGACATATTTCTATGTCAGAATATCACAAAAAAGTAAAATCTCTAAAGCTTGTTAGCCGCAGAAGTTATTTTAGGAATCTTTTCAAAACCTCATTCAAACGACCCATTGACTTGTGTTAAAGGGACTTCTGCGCAACAATGATGACACTTCTGGGTTTCAGAACTCATTCCTGCATGTTTGGGTAGAGGCAAATAATAAAATATAAAGGTTAAACATAAATAACTATTTGTATTATTGTTTTTTATCTTATGAGGTTATCTTCTTTTTTTTAATCCACTAATGTATGTGTAGTAAATGCTAACATGGCTGATAGCTACTCGTTAGTGTTAGCTAATGAGCCTGGTTCAACATGGTAGCTTAATTTTCCTAGCTTACATAACAACAGAAAGCAACAAGTACTGGGATATTTTACAAAAGTAAAAACTCAGTTAATTGAAATAATTCAACTCAATTAGAAGTTAAAATGTTCTCTTCTATTCTGTCGTGCCTCCGTACCTGTTCTGTGTACAGATTCGGCTCTAAGGCTCATGTGGACAGGCTGGAGGAAGTAACCAAGGAGATTGAAATTTCGGACACTTACCAGCTGAAAGACACTGAACTGATTTATGGAGCCAAGCACGCCTGGAGGAATGCTGCCCGATGTGTAGGGAGGATCCAGTGGTCCAAACTGCAGGTACTAGCAGCATGCACAAATAGCACTTAGATTTACACTGCTTTTTTTTAACAAGTAATATGGAAAGTCAACAAGGTCAATTGTGCATTGTGCATTTGCTGTTTCATATAACATCCAAGATACTCAGAAACATAGCTTTGCAGTCATATCATCTTGCATAAAATATCAGACTGTACTACTATTTTATTCTAATATTGAAAACATCTATTCTTCTTTTGTTTTGCTTTCCAGCTTTTTGATGCTAGAGACTGCACAACAGCTCATGGAATGTACAACTACATCTGTAACCACATCAAGTACGCCACCAACAAAGGCAATCTGAGGTAAACAAAAACACACACACAATGCTCAGCTATTTACCTATGTCTTGTTTCTTTTTATTCTACTCTGCTCCTGTTCCTCAGACTACACGTGTTTCTCTCCCCATCTGTCGCTTCATATATCTCACCCCCCCCCCCCCCCTCCTCTCTCCATCTCTTTCTGCCCTGACATGACCCTCTGTCCCATCTGTCAGCCTGTGCTCTGGCTATTAATGCTTTATCTGACACTATCTGCTGCCTGTCAGTGTCTCTGCACCAATCAAAGCCCTCTTGGTGAGGCGGCGGGCCTTGCTAACAAGCAGTCATTTGTCAGACCTGCTCGCTCACTTTCTGCCAAGTGCTAATCACATGTGACACCTCATATTTACTTCTTGAATGATGGATAGCTTCTGAATCATTACTACACTTAGCCTGGCCTTCTGGAGGAGAGCTCGGATACACATGTTGATAGGAGCCAGCACAACATCCTCTCTCCGTCTGGCTCGCTTCGACATAGATAAATACAGACACATAAATACATGCAACGTGTTGCAATAGTTTTGAAATCATTCTGCTCATCCCCAAAACACCTGTCAACATGACAAAATATAAATAAAAATGTCAGGAAGGATGATAAATGATGCAAAGAAAAGACTATGAGTCAGTGGTTTTTAGGTTTAGGATTTCTTGGAAAAACATGATGTTATGTCTTCAATATATTACAAAATATGTGTCAACATGTTGTTGAATTTCACTGCACACTTCTCTTTAGGCACCTTGTTATGAAGGTTTTTTTTAGTTGTAACAAATTCATCGATTATTTACTAAACCTTTACAGTTGAAGTGATCCATAAGTCATCAGTGTGTTGCCGTTGTTGGGTTGCAAGGTTGTGAACAATTCCATTTGGTGACGTTTATCCTTTCTATTTTATACTAATGCAGTTTGAAATGTTTTTTTAAGCAATAAAGTAGAGTCAAGGGGCTTATCTTTTAGTGTTAAGCCTCATGCCTGCAGACAGAGCCAGCAGGCAAGAAGAGTGTAAAAGGCAGGTTTATTTACATAAAAAGGAAGTAAACAATTTACAAAATGTGTAAAAAAGTGACACAAACATTTATGGAAACCATGACAGTAGTCCACGGTAGTAAACAGAACTTAATGTAAGGACCTACTGTATACTTCTGAAAAACAATTTAATACCTAAGTACATAAAAAATCGCATTATCGGTATTAATATTCAATCAATTAACCATAACAAAAGTATTAAACAAAATCTCTTGACATGAATTCGCAACCTTTACCCCTGCAGGTAATTGATACATTCCGATTGACCACTTCCTGTATTTAAGAGTTCAGCTTTTGGGTGTGTATCTTTTGCTCCGGCCTGTCAGGATGTCCCTTCAGCAGCAGCAACACACAGCCCTTAGAACTCGTGAATGTCAACAATGTACTTCATTAGATATTGGCAGCAAGAGGACAGATTGTAATGAAATGTGTCGTTGGCACATTAAAGTCTGAAGGCACAGACTGTTGGTTTTGCTGTTCACACCAGTTTCCAAGCTTTACTGCAGATGTTGTTTGCTAGCACAACTGGCCCAGATTCTCAGCAGCTGCTCCCCCTCCTCAGTGACTTAGCACCAGCTTAGTAGTGTTAACACTTTCACCCGGTCATGGCATTAAAAACACCACAGGGATGTAGGTAGCTAAGCTGTGACAAAGCATAATTGAAAATATATTTGATGAGGATTACATGTACGATGCCAACCATCTGTTGCAATCTAGTTGATTAATACACTTAAACATATACTCAATGTAATGTTTCCCTCACACCGTATACACTATAATGTAGGTACAGATATGCCACCGAATTTAGATTTTTCTTTGAAACCAATTTATATTTTTTGTTTTTTGCAGGTCGGCAATCACCATATTCCCTCAGAGGATAGATGGAAAACATGACTATCGAGTGTGGAACTGTCAGCTGATTCGCTACGCTGGATACAAAATGCCTGATGGAAAGATCCAAGGGGACCCTGCTAATGTCGAATTTACTGAGGTACACAAGAGGAGCTGAAGTCAATGTGGTAAATGGTGATGTCACTTTGAAACAAATGTCCTATTTGCACTCTGCTTTGTTGCTATTCGTCCCCAGATCTGCACGCAGCTGGGATGGAAAGGTCCAAAGGGTCGTTTTGATGTCCTGCCCCTCCTGCTGCAAGCCAATGGAAATGATCCCGAGCTGTTCGAAATTCCCGAAGACCTCATCCTGGAGGTGCCATTCACACACCCTAAGTGAGTTCTGCTTTCCCTCTGAAGCATGCATCAATCTAGCAAAAATAAAAACAGAGGGGGTTACATAAAAAAGACATCCACCCACTCACACATCTCTTAACAACACTTCTTAAACAATGGGTTACTTTTACAACAAGAAGTCTGATTGGGTTATTGTGACATTCAAACTGTGCTGAATGCTCCCAGAAAGCGCAACAAGCCATACTTGATCTGTTGCTATGCCAGCTTTTGTGGTAACCATGGGACTTGAAAATGAGGTTTCAAGCTTTGCCTTTTTTTATGCGTTTACTTTATTTTAAGAAAACTGACCCTGTATGAAACCACAATGTGTTTGAAATCTTAAGCATTATGCTGCTCTATCTTATACTGATAATCACATTAACAACTGCAGCTACACTAGATATCATAAATACAGATGCACACTGAGCCATCAATACATCTCTGCACGCTACACAGAGCATTTCAAAACCCACACTGATCTCCCGCCAGACTACTCTCCCCAAAATTGGCATCTCTTGCTCCATTCCTCGCTTCAACTGGCCCTCAGCTCTGGCAGCAGCTTGGCACAGGAGTCGACCGCCAACGGCGCCTCATCATTACATGAGATTAGACCCAACTCTTCAAATAATACACTGAAAGCAATGTTATCAATCCCCCTAGAGGGTGCAAGGAGCGAGCAGTGGGAGGTTGATTTACACCCTGCCTGCTCTGTCCAGCACTGAAAAGCTCTCAAAAACGGTTTCTTTTTGTTAATGTTGGTTTTGGCTGCTCTGTTTTTTTTTAATTATTTGTGTCTCAGGAATACATTTGTGTGCTCAAACAGACCAATGCAAATTGTTGTGGTTAATAAGCTTGATATCGCAAATTGGATGTTTACCTACAGTTCCCACCTGGCAATCCCCTCTTTGCTCTGCCCAGGTACGACTGGTTCAAGGACCTGGAGCTGAAGTGGTACTCCCTCCCGGCGGTCTCCAACATGCTGCTTGAGATCGGGGGTCTGGAGTTCACTGGCTGCCCATTCAGTGGCTGGTACATGGGCACAGAGATCGGCGTGAGAGACTTCTGTGACAGCTCGCGCTACAACATTCTGGAGGTAATGTGTCGTGCCAGAATATGGAGTCATGCTCCATAGGAACCACAGATTGACTGACACCTTGTGTAGAGGGGAGCATGTGTTGTCTCACCAAATGGTCAAATCAGGATGCCATTCCTCTGCTAATTGTGCACTCTGACGAAAAAACTGCTGAACAGCACTTAAAGCCTCCTTTTGTATTGGCACAGACACTCATAACATCAATTATACATTGTTAATTTGAATATTGTTACAAAATGTGTACATAGTTAACTGTTGATATATGTATGCAGTCATATACTGTAAGTCATGTATTTAGAGAAGCTAATGGAAGTGAATAGTAAACGCTTCAAATTTAAATATTTTATATATGTGACATAATTAGGGCAATTACCTAAATGTGCATGTTTCCTTTTGAGTCAAGTTAAAAGAGAGGGAGAAATACTTTTTTGCACTCTCAAAAATGATCTATTACTATAAACAAACACCTGTTGGAGGCGTGAAAAGTACTTCAATGTCACACTTGATTTAATTTGGACAGATACTTTTCATATTTGCAACTGTTACATTTATTTTTATATCATGTAGGAAGTTGCTGACAAGATGGCCTTAGACACCAGGAAGACTTCCTCCCTTTGGAAAGACCAGGCATGTGTGGAAATCAACATCGCTGTTCTCTACAGCTTCCAGGTACACTTTACTTTATAATAAACAATGTTTTGAATATGTTTCCTCAACCCCGCTATGGGCTGGCTCTGAAAAGCTGGCATGTTCTGAACACTCTTATTCTTTGCGAGAATTTGCAACATGTTTGTCTCTAGAGCTGTCACTTTTTAATGTTAGTCTAACATGAGGTGCATCCAATGTCAGCAGGCATAAAAGATTTGCCTTTAACGTAACTGATGAAATAGAACATATTGTTTTGTGAAATGCACATCATCTTTGTAAACAGATTCTGAATATGAATGCAGAGCAGGCTTTGGTGGAATGCAGGTTCACATTCCCTGTAGAGAATTAAAGAGGATCGGCCTGAAATGCAACCTCTTAACCGTTCAGCTATCAAATGACAACGAATTCGATTTAATTAGATGGAAACTCTTAGATGGAGCGATGAACTGGAATATGATGATGAAGCTAGAGAACTGACACTGGAGGTTTGTTGGGAGATTCTAGTGAAGCTCCTGCCCCAACCAATTATGTGATTCAAGTCCTCTCTCAGTGCCTACTTAACACGCCCAAAAAGGACAACTAACGCTCTATCAACAACCAGAAATGTCTTTCACAAAGAAGCTGGCTCCAGAAAGCACTGGTCTGATTAAACGTACTCTGATCCTCAGCAGAAACGTTGGCCCTATCTGTGTGTTTATGTCTTTGCTTTAGACACATTCAGGGTTTAAAGACAGGTCTTCTCTTTACCAGCTACTGTTGAGGCCCCAATGGCTGAGAGTTGCCTGCTTTATCATGCAAAAGGTTTCAGCCTTAAGGCCATGATAATAAAGTTAGTTAAATAATTCCCTAAAGCCCCTGTCACACTGTCCCGAAAATGACACCAGATGTACACACGATAAAGACATGTTCAAATTCGGCTCTGATCGTAACATCGGGCCATTCGTGAGGGCATCTTAAGCCATCGTATGACCGCCGGTGGTGTTTCTCAGGCTCCGGCAGCAACTTCGTGAGCGGTGGCAAAATCTTTGGCATGCCAAAAAATTGCAGAAGGACCTTGCGAAGGTTCATTTTCGTGTTGAATTTGTGTGTCCATTTTGCCCTTCGTAAGGCCAGCGTGAGTGCATCTTGTCAAATCGTGTCATCTTCGTCTTTACTTCGTGTGATCATCGGTGCCATCGGGCATTTTCCGCCTCACGAAGACAATACGAAGGAAACAAGAAGCTGCCCGATTGTCTTGGGAAGGCAACACGACTACGTGTAGCCCTCGCAATGCCGTCGTGTAGCCATCGTATTATAGTACGATGACATCGAGATGGGACCACGGTGTGCAATGTTTCCTTGCAGGGACGCGGGAAGGGGGGGGGGTGCTGAGGGGGCTGCAGCACCCCCATCTGTTGGCGGAGAGTTGTAACTGCAACGCCAAAAAGTTCACTAAACAAATCAATACAACATTTTTATTTTTAGTTACTATTTTTGAGTTAACATTTTATTGTAAGCAGTCTATAAAAAGCTTCACTATATAAGAGAAAGTGATAATCCGGTGTGCTACTTCTGTTGCTCTGCTATAGAAAAGAAGCTCGTCAGTGCAGACACAATCAGGGATGGGAGTTTTGTGAAAGGAGGGTTTAACAACTGGCGAAAGGCAGGGGAAACATTTAGGGAGCATGAGAAGTCCCATCAACACACAGGCCGTCAACAAACTGGCAGCATTCAAACGAACACCGATGAATGCACTGCTCTCACAAGCTGTTGCTAAAGACCAAATGACTGCATTTAATATGACGTTATTATATACAATCTCAAGTTTCCAAAATGTAAAGTCCCATAGTACTTTAACATAATTTGTTTTTGTTACTTTCGTTGCAGTTGTATGTCTTAAATGTAATGTAAATGTTGCCTTCGTGTGTGGTTCGGGCGCCATCGTGTGGCCTTCTGTAGGCATCGTACTTGTGCGAAATCTTCGTGCGAAATTCACAATTCCATATTCGCGTGTCCATCTGTTGTCAATTTCGGGACAGTGTGACGCGGGCTTTACAAAAGCATATTTGTTAAAGGGCCCCTTGTGAAACAAATTGGTCGTTTCATATGGTTTTCCCACTTAAACTCCATTCCTCGCATATTTTAACTATTGCTAATCGAACTGAAAACAATGAGCAGTGCACTGAAGGAAGTCTTTGCCCTGATATCTGCTAGCTACATGGAACCCCAAAAAGATTACCCCTCACCCTGAGAGGATATTGTCGCCAGACCAATAGCCAATGGGTTACGAGATACTGTATTTGATCTATAGTACTTATAGAAAGCATCAGAGAACATGCAGAGATACTTAAATGAGCTCATTGTGTGTATCCTTTATTTTCAGCTGTGCAAAGTCACCATAGTGGACCATCACTCAGCCACAGAGTCCTTCATGAAGCACATGGAGAATGAGTACCGGGTGCGAGGTGGCTGCCCCGGAGACTGGGTGTGGATTGTGCCTTCCATGTCAGGAAGTATCACACCGGTGTTCCACCAAGAAATGATCAACTATCGCCTCACCCCTTCCTTTGAGTACCAGGTGAGGCCATAAAACGGAGATAAGAATACCTGCTTTGACATTAGCTTCCAAGGCCGTAACGCAACTCATGGGGTGCTGTGTGTTATTGGCAGATGGTACTACCACAAGTACAGCACTTATGTTCACAAACTGCTTGGTTGAAGAGCTATATTAAGGAAGTCATGAAGGTAAATGTTGGGAATCATTAGTAAAAGTAGACCAAACACAATAAAGGAAAGTTTGTACAGGAAGTTGCACCTCTTGAATACACTGAATGTCACAGAAGATGTCTCAGTATCTGGTAATGGATTCTAGCCCTAAAGAGTGTGTTTGTGTTTTTGGGGGTTTTCCCTTTCCTGTAGTGTGTTATATAGATTGGTTTGCATGTAGATGGACTCCAAAGGCTAAACTCACTCATTTAATGTCATACATTTCTTCCTGCTTGAAACGTCTCAAATGTAGTCCTTTGTTTACTTCCGCAACATAGTGACCTCACTAGGTAACACTCACGCTACTATTGGCTAGCGCTTCAACACATTGTAAGTGATAAGCTTAGGAGCGGGACATCTCTAAGTGGTTGTACAATCACAACACAGCCGGCCGGCTAACCAATCAGAGCAGACTGGGTTTTGGTTTTAGACAGATGGTGAAAATAGATGCTGCAGTATGAGAGAAGTAAAGACCTTTTTGAACATGTGAACAAAATACAAATATGAACCTGAAAATCTGCATAATAGGGCCCCTTTAAACAAACTTGAATTTCTTGTTCCATATGCAAAAAGCTCGATCCCTGGAATACCTATGTGTGGAAGGGAGCCAACGGGACGCCGACAAAGAAGAGAACCATTGGATTCAAGAAGCTTGCCAAGTGAGTATGCAGGCACACGGAAAGATTTGAAAAAAACAAGGTTTAGTGTTTGTTAAATGTATGACTTGTTTTTCTTCCTTTGTTCTTCCTGCATTTTTAAAGTCAAGGTTAAATTGCATTATCAAATGCCAAAGATAATTTAGTGAAGGATGTGTCTAATCTAATGCCAAACTAGTAATCACTTTACTGACAAAAGTGAGACGCATTGGAAGGAAACTGGTGTGATCAGCGGTGCAATTTATTCAATCAACCCCTCAGGGAGTAATCAAAGCTTTGTCATTGTTTTGTCTGAGCAGGCATGCATGTTCACGCGCATGTTCTGCTTTTAATGTTTTTCCTCAAGGATATGACAAGCTATGTAATCATTATTGTCATCCATCCCCCTTGACACATTTGTTTTCCCGCTTCTAAGTGTACCACACTACTCTCAAAACCAAATTATCTATCAGCAAACTGTGCCCCTAAATCAATGGTCTTTGTTTTTCTAAATGTCTTACCCTTGGATTTTCTGTGCTTCTCAATTCTAACCATCTCTTTCTTTGCCTTTGCAGGGCTGTGAAGTTTTCAGCCAAGCTCATGGGCCAAGCCATGGCCAAGAGGGTGAAAGCCACCATACTGTTTGCAACGGAGACGGGCAAATCGCAAGATTATGCCAAAACTCTGTGTGAAATCTTCAAGCACGCATTCGACGCAAAGGTACCCTTGCTCCTGCCTTGCATCATGTTATCCGAAAGTTGGACAGGAACGTTCACTGTCATTGTGCAGACGTTTCATTTAAAAAGGAGGAATTCAAAGACACCGTTCCTACACCCCCCGCCTCCATCCCCTCTACCCCCTCTGTGGCTGACGAAGCCAGGCAGATGCCAGCTGAGCACAGGCAACGAGAGCATACAAGAATAAAGTGTATCTTTTGTCACAATTTCTTCTTCTCTCATGCAGTAAAGTGCCCGCGGGTTGGAGGCAACATTTAACCACCGATGCGTTGAGCAGTGCAGTAGTTTAAGACGAGATCCCGAAGCACCCCTGGCTGTGCAAATCTGTTTTGAAAAATAGAGAGAGAGCAAAAATGCTAAACACGCTGCTCTCAATCATACACTGCATGCTTTTCCTTCAGGTCATGTCTAATTTCCCCTTCCTGTTTTCCCAGTGTGATCAATCGTACAAGAAGAGATTCGTGTGTGTGTGGATGTGTGTGTCACTGAGAGTGGGTGTCTGTAGATGGATCGCAGGGCAGATTTGAGTGCCCGGGGCAAATCTTCGTTGTCGTGGGGCTAAAGCCTGTTTCCTCTTCATGCCTTTGTGTGTGTGTGTGTGAAATGCAAGTGAGTCCTGTGGCAGACTAACACATTCATGTTGAGCGGTATGCATGCATCATGGATGCTCGTTGTGTGGCAGCAGCATATTATCATCTCGTTAGAGGCGAGGACGGAGTGGTCATTACAACCTCTTCCTTCGCCAACGGCTGCGTGTTCAGCCTTATTTTACACGCTCTGGTCATCTGTCTTTAGAAATGCGTGTCTGGAGAGCAAGCTTAAAAAGGCGAGGGTTAATTTTCCCAGTTCTTTTTTATTTAGGCTTAGCCCTGTGTCAAATGTCTTTGTGAGATAAAAAAAAAAATCATAATTAGCCAGGCTTATTTGTTATTTATGTGGTTTAGTTCTACTGAAAGTTAGTCAAAGAAAAAAGTTGATTTTGTTCTATTTTACTCATAAATACTTTTGACAATTAAGTCTGTTTTTAGTCAATGTAGTTTTGCCAAAACAAATATTGTTGTCATTTTGGTCAAATATATGTAGCATAAAATATTTGTGCTCATTAGTGTTGGGTCATTAGCACCCAACCAGCCTGTAATGAGCCGATCTGTAACGCCCAACGCGGAAAAACACTAGAAATATAATTAAATAAAGTAGCACAATTATCAGGACAGAGGAGGATTGAGACAACGGCTGATCTCTAGGCTCACATGGTGTTTGTTTGAGAGAGTGTGGGAAAGAAAGGGAAAAGTGACAAAAATAGAGGTTCTCATGTAATGTTTTTTTTTTTTAAAACTACATTTAAGTCTCTCCTTTTTTCTTTTTCCTTTGGTGTTTAATGACGTCATCTTCATCATCTTGTCCTAGGATGATAAGGAAGTTTACATAAATATATTGTCCCATTTTTCCTTCAATAGTAGACTTAAATTCACACTGAAGACTACACCCTGTACGTGGAGGCTAATATTTCATTTGCATGATGCCCCGTTTTGTTATCCGCAGGTCATGTCGATGGATGAATACGATGTGGTGGACCTGGAGCACGAGACGCTGGTGTTAGCGGTGACCAGCACATTCGGCAATGGTGATCCACCAGAGAATGGAGAGGTATGTATATTTATATATTCACAACTCTGACTATTTAACACTAGGCAGATGCATGGATTACTAACAGTCCTTCTTTGGCTACTGAAGAAATTTGGAGCTGCCTTAATGGAGATGCGCCACCCAACATCCAACACAGAAGATAGAAAGTAAGTTTGTATTGCATTGTGGATTTTTCTCCTTTTTCCTTGAGTTATGTGTCCATGCTTTTAATCTCTCCACTTTTGCCTCCCATCCAGGAGCTACAAGGTCCGTTTCAACAGCGTGTCCTCCTACTCTGACACTCGCAAGTCCTCCAGTGACGAGCCAGAACCCAGGATTAACTTTGAGAGCACCGGACCACTCGCAAATGTCAGGTAAACAAAAATGAGCCATACAATAAGACTTTAACAACTTGTCAAACAAAAGCCACACTGAAAAAAAACTGAAACGTTGACTTAAATACATGTATTATGTCAACAAATTACACATACACGAATTGTATTTGAAAGCAATAATATTACATAAAAAAATGATAGGTTCAACTTAATACTATTGCTTTCATCTAATCTAATACAATTATGTATAACCTGTTGAAACTTGTTGAAGGCCATGTTTATTTTTTTTCACTGCACACAGTAGGCAATACTGTGGTAATTTCAAGGTCATTCTCACTATTCATTATAGTCTAAACAATGGTTATACGGATCCTTTTCTGTATGTCTTATCAATTGAGCATTTCGTTTGTCATTTGTATGTGTTTTGCATGTTAAACTTATTTTCTGGATTTCAAATCTAATTGCAGTGCACAGATTCCTGACATGTTGAATATGAAAGAAACACAAACATGTCGCCCTAAGTTAAAGTAAGTTGTGAAGCTGTGGTTTGATGAATCTCCTGCCCTCAGCTCATTCACATTTCTAACGAATCAAAAGCTCTAAAACGACTAACTCTGGGGATTCAGACATGGCTTTGTTGGCGGTGATTGACCAACGTTGGTTTGTGTTTGGATTTTTTTAACGCTATCTGCCTCTCACACTTGTTCTCTCTCTTCCTTCTTGTGTATGTGTTTGTGTGTGTGTGTCTCTGTTTAGGTTCTCAGTGTTTGGCCTTGGCTCCAGGGCCTACCCACACTTCTGCGCCTTTGCCCACGCTGTGGACACGCTGTTTGAAGAGCTGGGGGGGGAGCGCATCCTACGTATGGGAGAGGGAGATGAGCTGTGTGGCCAGGAGGAGTCATTCAGAACCTGGGCCAAGAAGGTTTTTAAGGTCTGTTTCATGGTTTAAGACCCTGTGGGCTTGGTTAAATGAATATTGATTCTTGATTCAAAGGGATTTCCGATTCAGTTATCTTGGTGATGTTAATTTCAGCATTTAATCCATTATAATAATAAAGGGGTTTTGGCAAATTATGGCATGATGAAGTGTAAAGTGTGAACAAGATTTTAGAGTTCTCATATTTGTCAAAGTTATATTATTCATTGATTGCAATAACATTAACACACAAAGGTAAACCGAGGACAAAAGGTGACATTTAATCATGCCAACCTTTCACGAATAGTACTATTACAATTACTATTACTAGTACTATTTCTCACTACCATTTTCACCACAAAATACAAATGATGCCTGTCACATAAATACAATTGGTGTGCTTAGGCTTGCTGGCTTTTTTTTCCTCAGAAACATATAGGAAGCACAACAACACTGCAAAATGTGTATTTTCCGTCATGTCAAAAAATTATGTTGACACAACTTTGACTCAGTGTGTAGGGTTATGGGCAGTCAGTCAGTAAAAAAAGCATGCTTATTTTATTGAAATCTAAATATTAACATTAATCTACTTTTGGAATTGTGAATTGGTTCTAGAAGATAAGACTCTAGATTATTACATGTTGTTCAAATGGGAACAACATGTACATCATTTTTAACTTTAATTCATGACACATTAAAATCTAATTGGGTATTTGCCAAGACTTCATTTTGAAATAGGTCCCAATTTTTCTGTGCTACCACAACAAAGAAAACTAAATCAGAAGGCACCCTCATCCCTTTACAACAACCCCAACAGTGGTGTTGTTTGGCCATGGATGACCACACACTGACCTTGAGTTGGTGGGGGCAGTCCTACTTTGAATGCAGAGATCATTTTCCAAATCCTTTGTTATTCATTTGAGGGCACACTTTGAAAATTGGTCCTTTTCTTTCCTTTTGCCCGGTTGTTACATGTCAAGGCTGCCTGTGACGTGTTTTGTGTTGGCGATGACGTGAACATCGAGAAGGCCAACGACTCCTTGATCAGTAACGACCGCAGCTGGAAGAAGAGCAAGTTCCGCATGACTTACACAGCCGAGGCCCCGGCCCTCACAGAAGGTACATAATAATCCAGTGGGAGCTAAGTGACAAATATTGATAGCGTCTTGATCCCCACTATAATGTATCTGCAGAGGGGCGTCAAGGTTATTGATCAAGTGCAGTGACTCATCCAAAATGTTAACTAGAGCTGAGATTTGGTCATTTTCTTTAGCTGTTGGACTCTTTTGCATTATAAAGAGAAGGGGGGTTACTGTAGTTAATTTACCCAGCCTTATAGGTGGTCAAAAAAGTCAGTCTTTGAGTTCAGTATGACAAAAAACACAACATACCATTATTGGTTGTTGTTTTAGTAATATAATTTGTGTCAATTACTTAGTTACAATTTTAGTTTAGTTACTAGTTTGAGTTACTTTGGCCAAGGTTACAGGAATTTATTTGCTACATTATTTATACAGCCAAACTTTGATTTGATTTCTTAATCTTTGTTGGAATTTTTTTTTTGTAGCATAATTTGTTTCTGTAAATGATTTACAATTAAATTATTGAAAAAAACAAACCATAACATTATGACGAATTCTTCTTTTGGAGGGGGGGTCACAAAGGGCTCTAAGCTCAATGTTACAGGGGCACTGGCTCCTGTTGGGCCCCCCTTAGAGCCGCCCATGGAACAGTCTGTTTCTGTGAAAATATAATTGTGTTTATGTCTACCAACAGCATTGCACAGTGTTCACAAGAAGATGGTGTACGGTGCAAAGATGCTAGAATCTCAAAATTTGCAAAGTTCTAAATCCAAGTAAGTATGTTTTAAAACAGGACAATAATAAGTCACATGTTAACGGTTTTGTAAGCTTGTAAAAATATATTCTTATTTGATGTAATGCACTCTGGTTTCCAACTCATTCATTTGGTTTAATGTGCTGCACAAACTAAATGGAACAGACTGAAAATGGTGCGTCGACTCGTTATTCCCTAAATGTTGTATCTCTTTTGCAGTCGCTCCACCATATTTGTGCGGCTCCACACTAACAACCATGACAAGCTGAGCTACCAGCCCGGCGACCATCTGGGCATCTTCCCTGGCAACCACGAGGACCTGGTGACAGCACTCATGGATAAACTGGAAGACGCTCCGCCTGTCAATCAAATTGTGAAAGTGGAGTTCCTGGATGAGAGGAACACTGCCCTAGGTGGGTGATGCTATCAGCAACGTCATGGTACTTTACGGATACGGCAGGCGTGCAAACTGGAGGGCAGCAGTTGGAATCTGGGCAGGATGTCCTAATCTGAACATGAATAAGAAACAGACTCTCTTGAATCAACAGACGAGATGAAGTCAGACACAGTTGTGGTGACACCGTGTGACATAAGTGTGATTTTAACTGTGGCTGTGAAGCAAGGTGTTTTTCAAGCACATCACATGAGCTTAAACAAACGTTACCTTAAGACATAAAGCCATCCTGTGTCGTGGCATTTATAAGCAGCATATAAGAACTTTACTAATAAATAAATAAAATAATAAATTAAAGATTATAATTCTTCATATGAAGCTAATTTAATAAAGTTTCAATAGGTATTGAAAACCTGAAAACACAGTATCACATAGTCTTGACTATATATAATATGTAGTACGTGATATGTAATTGCCTATGAACAACTAAGTATGTAATACCATTGTGTGCCCTTTTGGTGCTGTGCAGACAAATGGGTTTATTTGTGATTTTTCAGTGAATTTTCAGGCCAGAAAAAAAAGTATTCAAAGGTAGAAGCGTAAACTCTGCATGGAGTTAAGGGGAATTCACAGTTGGGTGTTGTTCGATGAATTTTCTGTGGGTTCCACACCACTAGCTCATCAGTTACACATTTGATGCACTGAGGATGAAAAATATGAATGAATGCAGCTTGAATCTTTTTTTCCTTACGACAGGTGTTATCACTAACTGGACCAATGAAACTCGGATCCCTCCCTGCACCATCTACCAGGCCTTCCAGTACTTCCTGGACATCACCACCCCACCGAGCCCTGTGCTGCTGCAGCAGTTTGCTGCTCTGGCAACCAATGACAAACAGAAAAAGAAACTAGAGGTCCTCAGCAAGGTAAATTCAGTCTAACTGAGCTAAATGTTGGATTTGCAATGTATGTGCGTAGGCTGTATCCTAAATTAGGCTCTCTTTTCTTGCGTGCCAAATGTATGCAGATATTTATACTAAAGCACATTTTGAAGCACATTTCTAGAAAGAGTCGACATGTGTTTAAGGCACAACAATAACCAACGCATTTCTCATGTTTGCCATCAGAATATGGGACATGGTTTTCTGTGTCTGAATGCCGATTTGTTGCACTTTGCTCCGACAGAAATATGTACAGCAGGAGTGAGCTGGCGCCAAATTATAGCCGTTGTTCGTTCTATCTCAGAGCCATTCCCCCATGCAGTGCCTCCCACAATTCACTCTCCATTTCTGTCAATGTGTGGAGAAGGCTGGCTGAGGCCAAGCAGTGACTCATATGCTCATACGTCGAATCATTGTCACCAAAGCAAGAGGAATTCAGAAACAGTACTGTAGAATCAGCACTGCAGATAATTTTAATTTGTATATGCCCTAATTTCAAGCACATTTCCGGACTAAAGCATGGATCTCTGACATTCCTAGTCTTTTTAATCATATCAAGCATTCGAGAACATTCAAGCTGTTAAGTTTATTTTGTTATTGTGTTCTTTTTATGTATTTTCAAAAGCACGAAAGAGGGAATTGCCTTAAAAATGATTGCATATTCATAAGAAATCTCAAAACAGTTCATGAAAAGACCCCCTGAAACCCCATCTGTGCATCAAGGTTAAAAAAACACAGGCCCAAGAATATTTTCTTTGTTAAACTTTTGCTAATTGTTCACACCGCGCTTTTAACAGTGCTTCGCCTTTTATAATGGAACCACACAAGGCTTCTTCAAGGGCACTGTGTCGCTCATTAGCACTTTGAAAACAAAGCAAAAGTTGGGGATATATCAACGTTTTTAAGCCTTGTGGCAGTGCTCTAAATAAATCCCACCCAAATGTAAGTGATGACACACTAAAACAGTTGGGCAGTGAATGGTGAATGGCTCCGCTTGTGGCTGCCTCCTGCTCTCGAGTCAGACGTTTTCCCTAAGAGGAAACCACCCCCTATTTTCTTTCTGTAATCATGGCAGCTACTCGGGTTTCTTAATTAGGACAACAACTAACTTAGACAGAAATTAAATCTGATACATATCCATCTGAACTTATCCAGTGCTGCAATGAAACTAAGTACATGAACTCATGTGCCATACTTAAGTACTATTTTGACACAATCTTACTTTGAGTAATTCTATGTTATGCTACATTATACTTCCCCACTGCTTCATTTCAGAGGCAAATATCTAACTTTTTACTCCTCTGCTGTATCTTGTAACTAAAATCGGCTCCACATTGAAAAACTCCAACATTAAAAGGCTTTTACATATATGTATTGGGTAAAAAACAGGATAGTATCATGATGTTTTACCATATATAAAGAGATGTTCTGCATTAAGACTACTTAAACTGTATTTAGTAGTATATACTTTATGTTCATATACCTGATAATAATTCTGTCTCCAATAAACATGTTACATTTAGGACTGTTACTTGTAATTAAGTATTTACTCTAGTAAAGGATCCAAGTACTTCTTCAACCTCTGTCTTTTTCTCATCACCCCCCAGGGCTTGCAGGAGTACGAGGAGTGGAAGTGGTTCAATGATCCGACGCTGGTGGAGGTGCTGGAGGAGTTCCCCTCCATTCAGATGCCCTCCACTCTGCTGCTCACCCAGCTGCCCCTGCTGCAGCCTCGCTACTACTCCATCAGCTCCTCTCCAGACCTGCACCCAGGGGAGATCCACCTCACCGTGGCTGTGGTCTCTTACCGTGCTCGGGGTAAGGACCTACTACCCACTTGGCTCTCTGAGCATTAGTTGCTGTGTCTCCAAGGATTTTAAGACTGTGTGGGTTGTATCCGTTGGTATTTTCTGCTGCTCTCTTTGAGGATGAACTGTAATGCTCCCATTAGGCTTTTGAAGGTCTGGAATTGGTCTCTTTCTTTCTTGGCATTTTGTATTGCCACTTTCTTGACATTTCAACTAGCGCAACCATGATTGTGGTTTAAACTGTATTTAGCAGTAAGCATGGTTCCCTTGGGTCCTTAAAATAAGGAAAGTTTGTGAATTTGGTTGGGATAATCGGTACCACTTTACAAGGAGACTATCCTTATAAAGGATTCATAAAGGGTTTATAATTAGGTTGTAAACACTTTATTAATCATTAAGAACCATTTATAAACCAGTTCTAACATAGTTTTCACACATCAACACAGGCTCACTATTTTGCAAGATGTCTAAGTCTTATATCGACTACTTAGTGAATCAACTCAGTGAACAACAGATACCAAGGATGCTGGCTGATGAAGAAGGCTCACTATTTGGCAAGCAACCGGTCACAGTTGCCCTGTTTATCTCATGTCTTATAAAAGCTTATTAATGATTTATAAAGTGTTCACAGCCTAATTAATAAATGAATTCCAAACTATTCGTAAACCCTTTATGAGGGTAGTCTTATTGTAAAGTGGTACCGGATAATCATGCCATTAAAGTATTTGAATATGAATAGATATTGTTTCATAACAAATTCACCATTTATGCTTTCAACAAATATGAACACAATGAGAGTTTTGTTAAAAAATCATAAGCATGGTAGAAGTAATGACGAAATGGGTGAAGGCAAATAATAGAAGAGCTAGGAAAATCAGGTGAGTTCAGTAAATGACATCACCTTACTGCAATGCAGCCTTTAAAACCAGGCAAAGAGGTATGCCATATTACTATTGTACAATATGCAATATCTAGCATCATAACACAATATCGATATATCAACAGATTGCCCAGCCAAAGAATAGAATTGTCTTTTATGTTTGTATATTCAATGCCTGCTGTCTGCATGCGTCTCCTGCAGTTGCGTCATTGTTTCACAACCAACCCTGTTTAAATAATTTCACATGAACTAGCAATAAGAGCCTATCCTGTGTATATATTTTCCTTTAGTTCAGTTTGAGCCAAGGATAAAAGGCACTGTGCTGTGGCTCTTTCAAGGTTGCTGAAAAGACTCAGAGAGTCAAATGACTCAGCCTCTGTGAGAACCCTCCGATGGCTCAAAGAAAATTGATTGGAAGTTATCCTGGAAAGCCGGTCTGCTTCATAGGGCAACCAGACCACAACTGTAACTACAAGAAACGTAGATTTAGAAACGCCTCAGGAAGAGCCTATATCTACAAACATATTCTATTTACAGACACAAACACAAATAAGAGGAAACACTGCAGGTATATCAGTCTGTCTGACACTATATTAAAATGACTAGGCTATTCAAGTTCCGTGTATACTGTAGCATGAATATCACAAGGCTCTTATATTACAAACATTACCAGATGCTAACCCTGCTATTTTCTTTCATACGTGTAATTTGTACCCGTGGAAACAATATAACTATGATTGTAAAGGTAACCTTTGAATTCATGTAATTACCTTGAGGGGGAGAGCAGCCCTGGCCTTGGAAAACGTGTTGGGGCCACTCTTCTTCTGTTGGTTTTTGCTCTTAAAGAGAGTGGGAGGTGGAGAGCAATGGTAAAGTGCCTGCTTGGTAATAATCATCCCTTTCAGATGGAGTGGGACCTATTCACCATGGAGTGTGTTCCTCGTGGCTCAACAGCATAGAGAAGGGGGAGATGGTGCCATGCTTTGTCAGAGGGTAAATATCATAAAAACATTTTTTAATGTCAGCTGAGTCAGTATTGTTTGTTAAAAGAAAATGTTGACATTTTGAGGGAAAAAGCTAATCTTCTTTCTCAGAAAAGATAACACTTTCATGTCTGCATGCTAAATGTGAACTACCACCAGCAGCTAGCTTACTTAGCTGAGCACGAAGACAGAAAACAGGAAAACAGCTAGCTCATTCTAAAGTAACAAACTCTACAAACAAGCACCTCTAAAGCTCACTAATTAACATGTTTGATCTGAACATATTTATCAACAATAAAACAACCAAGCTGTTTCCCGGTCAGAGCCAGTAACTTCCTGGAGTCTCCACTGGTAGCATACCAAGTAATACAACCATATAAATCCATGTAAAACAGCCATTTATCATTATAGACTAGACAAACAAAACATAATGTGCTGATCAGTGGGCTTTGTACGTTTTTTGTTATTGTTGGACAGACCCAGGGCTGCTTCCAGTCTTTCTACTAAGCTAAGTCAGCCAGCTGCTGCAGTTTCATATTCAGCTGGCAGACACCAGAGATCATGTTCTTTTGTCAGACAATCCAGAAACAGAATACACTTTTTCCCAAATGTCGAAAGTTTAGTCATCACTTGTATTACATATTTGCTTCATGTTTTTGTCTAATGCATTACTTTAGTGCACCATCATTCCGACTTCCCAAAGACAACCAAGCACCTTGTATCCTGGTGGGCCCGGGAACAGGTATCGCCCCTTTCAGAAGCTTCTGGCAACAAAGACTATTTGACCTTGAACACAACGGTAGGTTGTTTTTCTCCTTCCTTATTTATTGTTATCTTTGAGAGGCGTTGCATTGGATTGTCACTGCTGAACATGAACTAGCTGAAGGAATGTTTTGATTGATGGCTTTATTATAAGAATATCAAGGATAAATGTGCACCTCGCATATATATCGCATTAATGGAAGTCGTATCAAATCCGTATCAGAGATCAAGATAATACACAACACAGCAGATTGTTTCTTCTTCATCACCATTCAGAGCAGCAAAGTAACTCTGATTGTCATATTTTTTAGTAATTGAGTCGTGCCCCATGACCCTGGTGTTCGGTTGTCGGCAGTCTGAGATGGACCACATCTACAAGGAGGAGACCATCCAGGCCAAGAACAAACAAGCGTTCAAGGAGCTCTACGCGGCCTATTCAAGAGAGCCCGACAAACCAAAGGTACAAGCACTAAACATTCCATAGCTGTGGATGAGTCAGCAAAATGTTGGGTCGCTGTGTGGGTTTAAAATGAGAGTAGAGGAAAGGCTGTATAAAAATGCTGTGCTTGTATTCAGGAGATAGTTCACTCCGATTCACATAATGAATGCGATTTTCTACAGTTGATCCCAAGGTAAAGTTATTATCTCTGCAGAGGAGGTTATGCTTTCGGTTAATTAGCAGGATTATGAAAATGAAGATGAAGATTGGTTAAAGGAAGAACACATTAATTGTAAAGCCCTTCCAAATCATGTGGTGGATACACTAGTAATGTTTAAATGCTGTTAACATTGTGAGATAGGGCATTTGTGCTGCTTTTATTTAATGTTGGAATAAGTGGACAAAATGTGTTCTTTGGGAAATTCCTCACTGTGGAAATGGAAATGCCCAAGGAGCACTTGACCGCACAATCCACCTTGGCTTAGGTCTGGACTTTCTAATTGACTTTTTATTTAGCATTTAGTTTGTATCCATCTTCTAGGTCCTCCTTATATAGAAAGATACTTTTCCAATGTATCCAACACGCTTTGAGCTTGCAGTTTGCTACTTTATTTAACTTTATTCCCTTTCTGTCATTGTACAGTACTTTGCTTCCCTTACTTGTCTCACACTTGACTTCCTAATTCACACCCATCATTCCCCATTGCCTCTCTGTCAGAAATACGTACAGGATGTACTGCGGGAGCAGCTGTCAGAGACTGTGTACCAGTGCCTGAGGGAGGAGGGAGGACACATCTACGTGTGTGGGGATGTTACAATGGCTGGGGATGTTCTCAAGACCATCCAGCAAATCATCAGGCAGCAAGGCAACATGACCCTGGAGGATGCTGGCTTCTTCCTCAGCAAGCTGCGGGTAAGAAAAAGTAGAGGTTACCGTGCAACATTATCACAATGATGTGCACCATTATAGGGTTGGAATATTGGTACTGTCGGGGTCAAAGGTTTGAATCCTAGATGAGCTGTGAAAAAAGTGAATATGAACAGGCGAGGTGTTACAGGTTAGCTTCTTCACATGAATGTAACTGAGTGCTAGCGTGGAGCAGTCGAAAAACAGAAGGCGTGTTGAGTCAGTATAACTTGTGAAAATGAAGGTTAAAAACACCCCCACTGGCTCATATTCATGTGTGAACTCAAGGGTAACGGGCTATAAATAGAAAAAATGACACGTTTCAACAAGCCTACAATTAACACACTTACATGTGTAGAATACAAATTGACTGAAGAGGCGTTTTTACTGTTCAGTGAATCTGTCTATTGTAACAACTGCAGGCATGTAAACACCGTCCGTAACTCTGTCTTTCTATATTGTAAGAGTGGATAAAGATATCTTTAAAATCTCTAAACTTTAAATAAAAAGTACAATTTACTTATACATTTTCAATTCTATGTATGATATTAAGACCCCCAAAGCGAACTAAGAAGTATTCTGAAACCATAATATATCTTAATTGCATGCTCTTATTGTAAGTCTCCTCTGGTTGTGTTTAAGATTTGATTATATATGGTATTCTTTTCTTTCTTTAAAATCAGTCCTGTGATTTACTGTGTAACAATATCCATTTCATATTCATGTCCCCTTTTCTCTTTACTTTCACCTTCCCACCGTATCCAGGATGAGAACCGCTACCATGAAGACATCTTTGGAGTCACCCTGCGGACCTATGAGGTCACCAACAGGCTTCGCTCAGAGTCCATAGCCTTCATTGAGGAGAGCAAAAAGGACTCGGATGAGTAAGTGTGTTATTCCATTTTCCCTAGGGTAATTCAAAAGTTTATCCTAAAGCCAATATGTATGTCCTTAGTACATTTCAAGGCAATAATCTTAGTGGATAAAGACGTATCTTGCCTGTAACCTTTTGGCTTTTGCATGACACGAAAGGCATCCATAGTAATGGTATAGTAACTTTCCCAGTAGATTTTGACATATCTTATCTACAAATGGATAGTTGGGGTCAAGGGGTCACCAGAAACAGAAGGATTCATCCGCTATGAGTCATAAATATAAGCATCATTTCTTATAAACTATCTTCCTCAGTTATTGACCAAGGGCCTAGCCTTTTGCTAATTTAGTTATCCAAACCTGCTGACTCAGGCATGAATCATTTAAAAAAAAATATTTCTACATTCATGTCCCCCTTTGCTTCATCATTCATCTTTTGGATTCGTTGTGGAATTTAGGACGCATGGTAATGTCTTTAACCTTGAAACCAGGATTACTCACTTAACTAATCTGCAACACAGCTGAACAGCGTGGGATGCTTAAGATCTATGATGTGTTTTAGTAATCAATCTTATTTATTTTTTATTTACCAGACATCATTTTTGAACCACTCAGATATGCCAGCTGGGTAACTCATATTATAAGAGAGAAAATGTGTTTTTGGCACAGCCCATTTAGATTTATCTCATTGATTGACTAGGGCAGTTTTTCCTCTGAAAGACATTTGTATAACTCCAATCTCCAACCTGTAGTTGTTGGCGGCCCCGATGTGTTATCACTCCTCGTTTCAGATGAAAACAGAGTGGGTAACCATAGAAACCCATGGAGAGGGGCCTTTAAACTAACAGGATTAGAGTGAAAGCGAGTGGGTCTGCTCCATTTCTGTTTTTGTTTCCGTCGTCATTTGTGCACATTGAAGATTAGACACTTCATATACTCTTGCCATGAGAGCAAAACAAGGGCCCTACATATCCACTATGGCTCATTAAGCCCCAACATAATGCATCACAGACGATGGCTCCTGTGTGGATTGTCACTTGAATTTCACATTTGGCCATCAAAGCCCCGGTTCGTTGGATGAGTAATGACTGTAACATCTCTATTTCCATGTCTCTGCTCTCTCTGTCCATCTTTCTGTCTCTCCTTCTGTCTCCTCTCTCAGGGTTTTCTGCGTGTAGGTCCGTGAAGCGGCGGCTTTCTGTCAACAACCAATCTGGAGGACACAGCAACACTGGTTAAAAAATACTGTGCCAATTTTTGTACTGTAAAAAAAAAGAAAACAGGTTTCTTTCTTTTTTTTATACCACTTTAATGTTTTTGTTGGGCTCTGCGATTTTGTCTGTAGCAAGTTGGAAATGTTCTGTTCTCTGAAAATCTGTTTTGCTTGTTGATGATACTTCCAAAAATTATTAATTGATCATTTTGATTCATAATGTGTGCACCTAGTGTAATGACCTGCCTCATTGTGAATGCATGACCAAGAAGAGAATATACTCAAGAAATATAATATACTCGGTGTTATTGTTACAGTTAAAAGGCTTTTATTGGGGTTTCCTATTCTACGAGTTAAAGTATGGCATTGATAACAAACCCGCAGATGTTTCAGAAATACGAATTAAAGGGACATTCAGAAAGGATTCAGGGCTGGTCAAATCTATTGGAGCTGGGGTTTTATTTTCAATTAGTTTAATGAAAAAGTCAAATGGAAGAGATGATTCAAAGATGTACAGGCATGCAGATAGAAACAACTGAAAGACAGATATTGTGCAAGCACATTTGGCATGCTAACAGGCTGCCCTGATTATGAAAACAGCTATTTTGTCACAGCCTAAACTACCATATTATATATCTATTTACTGGCACTCAATCAAAGCGCATCAGCCACTCAGCTCTCTTTTTATTGGCCTATCCATTCTCCCAACATTATTATGGTACTCTGTCTCCCAGCTGGTGCTTGTCCCACCAACAGCAGCTGCATAGGAATTTGGAGGTCAACCAAGAAGCAAAAAGGCTTAACCTGATTCATATTTAAAGAACTCTAATCAATTAATTTTCAGATTTTAACTATCTAATCATTGATGTGTTCAATCAAATATTATCCTAATCATATATCAATCATATAATCATGCTAGATGCAACATTGTTTTGACATTTCTTGATTTGCATATTATTGTTCAATGATCGAATCATTAGTTTATAAGTTAAAGGTGTTATTTTGGGTATACATTGATCTCTATTGCCAGGAGTAAGATGAGAATATTGATGCCACTACTTTTTGCTATGGTTAATGAGAAGCTACATTCAACAGCCCGTTTGAGGCATTCAGACAGACAAAGCAAGGATTCCTTTGATTCAGGGGTGTTCTTTCATGTCTAAATGCAGCATTAGCTTAGCATAAACACTGGAAACCTAGGGAAATGCAACAATATCTCCCTACCAGTGCCCTAAAGGTGAACTTGTTTTCCCCCGTCACCCTGCGTTATGATATGGGGACATTACATATGTGGTTAAACTCCATTATGCTAAACTAAGACCTGTGTCCTCATTTGTTGACATGTTTTTCCTGCCATCTGTGGTAGCAGAAGTATATTACACAAATCAGAGTTAAAACAACATGGCAGTCATCTCGACACACCAATCCTACAGCCAATTCTGAAAAAATGGAGGCTTGGTGTAAGTCGTATGATTTGTTATAGTTTACTTTTTATTGGCTTCTAACAAAAGTGACCATAGCACAACATCAATCTTTTCATCTTACTCTGTGAAAACGTTTCCTTTAAAAATGACATGTAACAAAACAATTTAAGCTATTGAGTTTTGAAATGTGCATTTATCCACATCACAACCCCCTATTCCTCTTGCCTTACATTAACTATCTGCCTAGATACAGCATATTCATTCTCTTTTGTCCCTCTGCATGATTGTGCACAACCCTAGGCTTACACGCCACCCTTTCACTGTGACCTCACACACCTGCTCAGTAGCATCCGCATGCGTGTGTATGTGCGCGTATGTGCCATAACAATTCAGAAGTGTGCATCTCTATACGAGTGGGTTTCAAACATGCATGTGCTCAGGTGTATGTTTTACATGACGATTCTGCTTGTTGTTTGTTACCTTGTCAAACTTGTCACCTTTAAAATAAGCATGAATTTGTTGCTCTGTGAGTCACACAAGCCTGCAAATCTTACAGATGGTGTTTTGGTGACAGGAAACTGCCCACATGGCTTTTTAAGTTTTGATCTCAGCAGTTCAGTACTATTGTTATGATAAGTTCCAGTGATGTTTTTCATTCAGGGACAAAAGGCAATCCCACTGCCGCTGTGGTCATTTTCTGCTTTCCAATGCATCAGGTTTGTAAATTGAATATATTGGTGGAGGGGCCACATTGTTTATTGATCACCCACTCTGCAGTAACTTGTGGCTTTTCTTGTCTGTTCCCTTTATTTGTCTTTGATTCAAATTAAAGGTAACTGTTAGCATGATAAACAGATTTCAATGTGATTTTCAAACGTCCCTCACAGCTTTTCGTTTTCTAAATTATCTTTTATTTACTGCCTGCATAAAGAGGGGGATACCCCACGTCCCCACTGTTGTTCAATCTGGATGAATGTCTCCTCTGTATAATTTGTTTTCAACACATTTAGTTTCATTGGAATGGGAGCCGTCAAGAAAACGTCTGTGATGTCAAATGTGCAGCAAGACAAACAATTGATACATATAGCTTCTATATATAGCTTCTATAGATATATATTCAAAGTATAAAATACAAAGAGTACTACTTCGATCTTTTCTAAGAATGTATTTTGATTATGTAAAGGAGCACTTTGATTCTGCTTGATTTTAAAAAAAGGACAAAAAAAAAGCCTATTCTGCGGTTTAGGGATAAAACAGCAGCATTGACTAAATGCATGGCGATCTTCTCTCTCCTGTGTATATTTTAAAAGCTCTGTCTATTTACCAGCACTGTGTCAGTCAGTGAGACTGTATTGTGATGGGGGAGGGGGTTTATTTTTCTGTGTTTGCATATTGCTGCTACTATAAACAACTCTGATCCAATCAGCCTCTGCTATAATGACCTTTGTTGTGTAATTGATTGAGGATATTCCATTTTAATGCATCCACTGCAAGGACTTTGCATTTACTTTCAAATAAAGAGAAACATTTACAGAATATGTCAACACATGTGTTTTGTCTGTGATTCTTGTTTATATAAGAGAGAAGCGGGACTGAAAAGGTTTATTCCTGCAGTAGAACTTGTTTAAGTTTGAAGCGTTTTAGATGAAGGTCAGATTTAGATGTTGATACAAACAAGCCATTTGCTTCCACTGTTCTTCCTGCCTCTTTAAGTGCTGGTAGTCATGGCTTAGAGAGTCTAAACTCAGAGCACAAATACCTCTCATCGCCATGGAAACGTGTCAACATAACAAGAGGTCCAAACTTTACAATAAAGGACTCTGATTGGTGACTGGCTACCGGGAAGAGAAACATTGGCCTTGCTCATTAGCCCAAAGAGAGAAGACCCTCCTTTTGAGGAAGATGATACATACCTGCTAGTCAAATGCAGTGCAGTGATTTTAATATTGATAACAAAAAAGCTAAATTATAGCAACCTTCTTTGCTGGAAGCCGATGATTTGGAAAGTGAGATGCTGCAACTGGGAGAGGTAGGAAGGATCATTGAAGTGTGAACAACCAGGTAGGCAAGTGGAGACTTGTACAAGTGTTCAGGTAGATGTTCTATATTGTAGAGATTGATTAGTACATAAGAGAAGGACTTGGTGAGAATTCAAAGCATGTCCTTGATCTGCAAGAGTGTATCAAGCTTGAAAGTTGAGGTCTAGACCATAACACCTTCTATAGACACAGCATAACACCTTATATAGACACAGCTGAGGTCTTTCTATGCCTAGGGCAAGGCTAAAAAATACAGGCGAGAGACCTGCTATTTTTCTTTTAATAGATTGTTCTTTTGACCTGTGTACTTGCATGAATTATTTAACGGGGGACTCGGAGTGTCACCCTGAAAGTCCGACTTAATTACACTTTTATGCAATCTAATCAGAGGCCTGCATGCTCTTTTGTAAGTGTCAGAAAAACATTATGCAGGCAGCTTATTTTTTATAATTTTTTAATGTTGAATGTCCACACAAAGGGCCTCAGAAAGAACGTACAGTATGAGAATGATCACCCAAGTCTGAAGCTTTTATTGGCTTTATTTATGATTTGTATTGAGTTTTAGCTCTTATTTTGCTTCAGCCACTCTGGTATCACTTTCTGTGAAAAAGCTTCACCAGCACAAAGGCAAAGTTAGCAGCTACCTTGTGATTAAAGGCAGACATCTTCCCCTAGGAGATGGTGGAGACCAAAAAGACGGTTTAAAGCAGGGGTGTCAAACTCAAGGCCCGGGGGCCAAATCCGGCCCGCGACTTCCTTTTATGTGGCCCCACAAGAGCTTGCAAAGAATATAATATGTTTATTATACGGTTACATGCTACTTTACAGAAGCACTTTGCCCATAAACGACATGTCCCACAATGCATCTCAAATTTGACTTTTTCTCAGAATTTGACTTTTTTTGTCCAAATATGCCTTTTTTCTTAGAATTAGCCTTTTTCTCATAAATAGATTTTTTTTTCAAAATGTTACTTTTTTTCCAAAATGTCACTTCTCTTTTTCAAAATGTCACAATCAATGTTTTTCCAAAATGTGGCTTTTCTTTTAAAATCATATTGTGACATTCTTACTCAAGAGACTTGCAATTATTTCCCCTAGACTTCTGCTTTCAGACGTAGTTAATTAAGAAGTTATTACCCTATCCGATAATAATCCTAATCAGAGGCAATAATGTAATATAATACATTATTTTATATATATATTCAATATTTATATATGTCTTTTTATATAGTCTTAAAGTTACAACCGGCCCTTTGAGTGCAACCATAATGCTGATGTGGCCCGTGATGAAATTGAGTTTGACACCCCTGGTTTAAAGACAATAAATATTGGACTTACTTTTGCCTTGTTGCCAGACTGATTTATTCCTGAATATAACAATATAATGCAAGGTTGAAAAGGAAATGTAGTGGATATGCCTTAGGCCTTGAAAAAGGGGGTGAAAGACAGCAAAAACAGCCTCTGGCAAAAGAGAGGTGGGAAAGCAAAATAAGTAGTTAAAAAAACTTGGAGGACAGTGTGATACAATCCAACCATATTGATGGAAACAGTTGTTCAAAATCCATCCAATCTCCTCACTCAAGCTGCCCACAACAGGCAGCTTTTAGGAGTCACAATGTCTTATTTTCTCATTCTCCATCCAGGAAAGAATGAGCCAGACAGAGGTCGACGTGTGTGGGCCAAAGGACCAACGCTCAAGTCCGTGCGGGAATTTGCTAGACAGGGGTGAAAAAGAGGTTGAAGAGGAAGAGGATCAAGAGGAAGAGCTGGGAGGGGAAGACTGTGTGATCCTCAATGAGGACTACGACACAGACTTGGAGCTCCGAGGTAAAAGAAGGGAGATAAAAAGGGTGGGAAAGCTATTCATTTTATGATAAAGGGTGTGATGTTCCCTGTTATAATAAAAGTGAGGAAAAGGCTTGGTGATGTGTCACATTTTTGAAAAGAACAATTTCATCATGTTATTTTGTGGCTTGTATTATATATTGTATACCAGACTCCAGCAGCAAGTACTTTGAATGTGAATCTTAATTTGATCTTGATCAGAACATGCTTTGATAAAGTGAAGCCCTCTTGTCATCCCATCTGTTAATCTTCTCCCTTCTGCTATTACATCTTCTCATTCTCTAAATGATTTCAGGAAAGAAAAACAGTAACTCCTACGCGCGCCTGCTGCCCACACATGTAAAGCTCTGTTCTGCATCTTAATGATTACATCTCAGCCTTTGTGTCAGGCCTCCTTTTTCGCGAGAAGTGAAAACTATCTGGTATGAATGAGATCCACTGACAGGGCGAAATCAGCCACAAGGGAGTTTTCAATATCCCACTCAAAAGGTCCTCCTCCGGGGGGAAGGTGCCACATCTCGGTTTTCATAAAGAGGTATTGATAGCGAACAATTCAGCAGGCTATTGTCTTTTTTTCCTATTGCAGATAAGGAGGAGGCGTATGATCCGACGGGCTACATGAAGGCGTGCGAAGCGTTACAGGTGGTGCCTGCCTATAACTTCCTGAGGAACATGCACAATAGCGAGCTATCCATGATGCATCGCTGTCTGGGGCCTCAGGTACTTTAACCATAAATTAGGGATTGCATCTCTAAGTTACAAACATTTTATAATTGCTATATTTATATCAGCAATATATCACATGGCATTGTGAAGACAATGTGAAAGGGATTTGCTCCTGATGGTGAACCTACAGAGAATTATCACCTGAATCTGAAGCACCTCTCTTCTCTCAAGTTTCAGCTTATTTTGTTATGTCTGGCAACTTTACTGCTTTAGTTGACTCTAGTAAATGTCATCACTTAATGTGACAAAGCTAAAGAAGACTCAGTGTCCACTAGCCGCTCAGCCCCAAACAGCACAAAGTTAGCATCTACCCGAGGCAGAGACCAAAAACCGAGCTAAAGGAGAAAGAAACCCAACTACAAATAAATGATAATCTTGCTTTGAAACTGCTGGATGTGTTAATAAGCAACAGTTTGCTAACAAGTTCCCCATATCACTGATTATCATATGTAAATAATGTTGCTACATCTTATTTCTGCCAACTCCATGGCTTTCAGTTACACCCGGGGTAAGGTATTTGAATCGTACTTGCTTTTTCCTTCCTTACTCTCTAACGCTATTTTAGAACATTTAATGATTCATTAATTCAAAGTCACATTCCCCTCCAGGGGACTGCACTGATCATGACAAAGTCTGGGGAGCACCGTGTTAACTGCACGCAGCTGAGCTTCAAGTAGCGTTCAGTGTTTCTCCCCAGGAAATAGATCATGCACGTACATATCTTTGCCATACACTTGACATAAAAAATGGCACATTTCTAGTTCACTGTATTGATCATACCAGTGCACGTATAAGTGTAGAGCCCTTCCCTATCTAAAAAGAGAGAAGGCAGATGGCAGGGATTTACTCAGAGAGCTCATTATGCAGATGTTAATTGACATCTGGGGAAAGGTTCTCATTTTTTATCTAAAAGACAGAAAGTATAGCTTTATTATTTGGTCTTGTTACAGCATAATATCCAATTTCAATATTACGTATACATGTTTGAGCTTCTTTATTATCCAAAATACACACACACTAGATACAGATCCACAAAAACATAATCAAAGATGCTCTTGGCAGTTTTAGACCAAACAGGAAATCCATTATGACATGTTGTATAAACCAAATGGTTCATTTTAAGTACATGCAAAACAATGCTTTATTTACTTTTTGCGATAAAATACAGGGAAACATAAACAAAACAAGCTTTTGAGACGTTTTTATATTCTCGAACTCTCCAATAGCCTAATTTCAGACCAAAATCTCTGAAATTCACTTGTATTTTAAGCAGTAAATCAAAGTTAAATTGCTCTATGGTTGTATAACTCCGACTGAGGGTAGAGTACATGCTCTACACGTGTAAAAAAAGGCATTGCCTGGAGCTCTTAGAAACACAGTTTGACATTTTACATGCTTCTACTGGTCCATCACGCTGTAAATTAAAGTTGTGAAAGTAAATCCATTCCTCAACAAGCCGTTTCCCGCGGTTTCTGCTTCAGCGACATCATTCAGACGGATTACATTTGGATTTCAAATAAGTCTGACCTGTCCATTGCAGAGAGTAGTAAAGTAACAAAGTGCAACTGCCAAAGGTTATTTGTTAAAATGTCTTTCAGACTGATATGCTTCTTGTGGGGGAAACTTCTGTGTAGCAATGCAGGAGGAGTCACCGACTCAAAGGAGACACGGGGCGAGCTGGAGCTTTGATGGCAAACACTGATGGGTTTATTTGGAGCTTCGGCCGGAGAATTCACAAAACAAGTCAAAGAGTCAGAGGTTCTGACTTCACGGTAGAGTTGCCACGTCAATTCTGAAGAACTCTACCCCAGACCCATGCATTTAGCTAGTTCAGAGAGAATAATCAACATTGTGCATAACAAGATAGAATCATAACACCTCTATCAGCTGACGCCAACAGGCAGGAACAGGGAGACAAAACACTGAGAGCACAGCAGCCAAGGTTACAGGTGCGTGTGCTCAGTCAGGACAGTATGAACTGATAAACTGGGTCAACGTTATGGGCCTTGGAAAATATTTCCCCAACACTTCTGAAATCGAAGAGAACGATACTCTGCATGCATTTCGACACACTATTCTCTGGAGGAGCTTTTAGTTTAGCTCCATGCAGCCAACTTTCTCATTAGCCGTGCTGGAAACTATAATTTTCATGTTCTGCGAGCTTCATTTCTGACCCACGCCTCCACACAGCTCCCTTCTGCTTCATTTGTTTCACACAGGTTTAATACCCCCCCCCCCCCCCCCCCTCTCGCTCTCTGCCCACCTGCATCACTATATCTGCTCTTCTAACTGGAATACTGATAAGAAAATGTACTGCAGTGAGGAATTTTACTTTAAAGGGTAGTGGTGGGGGGGTGGTTGTGTGTTTGCAGGGCACCAAAGCACTGGCAGTTCCCCTGGTAACCAACACTTCAATACTGAGGCTGAACCTGCGAGATAATTGGATGGAAGGAATGGGCGGAGCTGCTATCGCCGAGATGTTAAAGGAAAATTGTTACATTACAGGTGGTTTTGCTGGGCACTCAAGCATCCTCACATTATCTCTCCCTTTTTCCTCACCCTGCCTCATATTTTTCTAGCAGAATGCCACCCTCACTCCCACTCATGTGCCATTGTCACCCCAATTATAAGCCATGATATCTGGGGTATGTGTCATATTCGTGCAGTTCAGGAACCTGGGGAGGGATCAATTGAGAATTACTACTGTGAGGCACGCAGGTTCTTCGGGGTGGTATTATAATTTTTTTACATTGTTTTTCATACATTATGTAAATCCCAATAATGAAATAATTTCCTGAAAATGTCATTACGTCTGAACTTTTGGACCTATTATATATACCTGAGTGCAACGTGACATAATCCTATAGTTTGACCAATAAAGTAAAAACGTTTCGCCTGATACTGTAATACCAATTTTGAGATTTTTTATTTTATTTCCTTGTATAGGTCATTGTTTTTTGGGAAGTTTAGGCAGTGATGATCAAGCTTTTTGGTCAGGACCTACTTTAAAACTAGAAAATGTGTCTTTAGATCCCCCCAACATGAGTAAAAGTCAATTAATTTCCAATTCGATTTTTGAAACACTTTTTTAATACAGGATATGTCATAAGATCAGGCGAAACGATGGATACACTACATTCAATAAGAATCACTGTTGACTCAAATGACAATAAAGATTTGAGAACGCTTTGTGTGACGTTAGCAATCAACTGATGGTGTCTTACCTAAGGTCCACTTTGCTCTAATGAAGGATCCTTGCACAACAAACAATCAGGGTGTGTGCAGGTTCATTTTTGTTAAACTTTGCAAATTTCACATTTCTGGTAAGAAAACAATACTTTTACTAATTATTACATTAATGTCAAATCATCCATAATATCAGTCAGGAAGTTGTATTGCATTATTTAGTTTAATTACATTTTAGGTTTAGGTGTAAATCTTATCCTCCTACATTTCAGGAAATTATAAATTACTGGGTCTGTACAAACCACTATTCAAATTGCAGAGGTAATTGTATGCATATAGGCAACATAAAACCTAAAAAACCTAAAAGAAAAAGTTGCCAATATATATTTTGCTGATGCAGTAGCAGACATTTGCCCACACACATTATGTTTGCATTTCAAATGCAGGCATACAAAACAATTGATAACTCTGAAAGGTTCGAGATTAGAAATCATTGATTTTACAGGTATACCAACGTATTGAACAAATGTAAGATTTCTGATGGTGCTTCATAAAAAGTTTTGAATCACTAAGATTTTAATCAAATAATCAAAAAAGGCTAGATGAATTAGGAGAGACTTAATTTAAGAGTGACATAATTTAATTGATATGCTGCACTCATGCTGTTGGTGTAAAGGGGGTAATATATTCTGACTAGAGAATGCAATTCCTGAAGAAATTGCTAGTGGGAATGCTTTATGCTGAAAAGCTGACACTGAATTGCTATGCTGAAATGTAATGTGTAAGAAGAAAGTGAAGAATTTAGATTGAAATGATACATGAACACTGGGGGCTTGAATGTATGATGAGAGAAGAAAAGAAAGTAAAATGGCTTGGAAAAGCAGCAGAATATTTGAACTGCAAACTATTGAACTAACTTGATGGCGAATGATCTATCGCCATGGCAACGGTATTTGATGACCCCATATACGGTTAGATATGTTGATGGCTGCATCATTACCAAAGAGTTTTGTGCCGTTTGGAGCATTTTCACTGAAGTTATGAGAAAACCGTGTTTCATGGTGAGCATTGTGTTGCCATGGCAACGGCATTTGAAGAAATCTCAAAACTGTCCCATAGATGTCTTCACGGCTGGACTGTTAGCACACATGTGAAGTTTAAGCACTTTTTGAACATTTTCATAGGAGTTATAGCGACATCGTCTTTTATGGCGAGGGATGCGTTTCCATGGAAACGGCATATGATGACACCCCATAATTGACGTAGAGCTGTTGAGGGCAGGACCATTAACCATTATCTGAAGTCTGCTGCTCTGAGCATGTCAGTTGGAGTTATGACATCATCGTGTTCCATGACACAGGTGTTTATATTTGAGCTAACGAGGTGTCCAGAGATCAAAGGTTTCCATTGTTCTGAATGAGAGATAAATCTCTTACATGTGAACGTTTTGTTGAAGAACCGTAACAGATATCGGTGAAATTTCAAAGCGTGAAGCATCTCAAGGACCTTGAGTATCTGAAGTGTGCTTTTTGTGTACTTTCGGGTCAATAATGTGGCCTTTTTGGCAGATTAACTACATGTAAAGGTGTGCGGCTGCTGCTGTGAGGAAATATCAGCCTGAAATTACAATGGGCTTTAATGGAGACATGTTGAAAGTTTTTGTCACTTCATGCCCTCAAGAGGCATTTCGTTTAATTATTTTTGTTTAATTATTTGTCATTTTTCAAGCTACGAGATGTTTTCCTACGTTTGTCATGAAAAATTATGTCTCAGGAATGTAGGGTTTGGGAATTATGGCAGTTTAAAAGACAAATATGAAGGCAAATTTCAAGATTTCCTATACTCTGTGACATCACGCACTCTAGTTAATGTTCAAATCTGAAGAAGGCCTCTGTACCAAGGTCTGAACAATGACCTCTCAATGACAACAATGATATCTCTAAAAGTAAGAATCAGATTTAAAAGTTGTGTTACACGAATAATGTCAGAAAGATGTGTAACATTTTAAAGTTGGAATGAGGTTTCTGAGTGAAAGTATGAAGGAACAGTTAGCAGTTGAAGTCGCATGAAGATTGTTCAAGTCTGAAGATTTTCTCCATTGACTTCAATGGTTAAAAATGTGATGAATTATGGGATATATCTCGGGAATTATGAAAGTTATGAATGAGAAAAGTAATAGCCATCGATTCCCGACCGAGCTGAACGTTTTGATGTTTGAACGATTTCTGCGATGTGGAATGTGGGAGAAGAAGACCGGCAAAATAACGGGCGGAATAAAGATTTTGAAGAACAGATAGTTGGAATGCTGTATCAGCAATCCCACTAAATGAGCCTGATAAATGCAATATCTGATATATGCAAGATAAACGATCAAACTTGAAACAACCACTCTACAGTATAAATCGATAAAACATTACAGAATTGTGAGAAAAAAATCTACCCTACTTCCCCTATGCCGGTCTTTCCCTCTTTGCAATTGGAAACACATCAGCTTCTCCTGCCAGGTACTGTTGTTTCCACTGGCCTATTTGCATCATAACCTGTGTACTGTGTGTCATCACAGAGGTGGACCTCTCCGACAACAGCCTTGGGGATCATGGGGCCGGAGCCATAGCTAGTATGCTAAAGGAGAACAGCACCCTGGTGAACCTCAATCTGTCAGGAAACCATTTCACAGACCGGTCCGTTGAACACCTCGGCCCAGCTCTGATCACCAACTCTCGGCTGCAGCACCTCGACCTCAGCCACAACGCTCTGGGAGAGCAAGCAGGTAGAACAGCAATTAGTTCTTTATTGTAAAGGTCACATATATTCTGTGAGCACTTAGTCTTTCAAGGAATGTAACTCTACCCATGGATCCCATCTGTATTTCAAATACTTAGCATAAAGGTAATTTGAAATACATTTGGGACCCATAAATGATATGGGTGATCATTGTAAAAGCAAAGGACATGAAAGAGGTGTGCTGTATTGGATAAATAACTCTGGTTTATTTGGACAGAGCTCTTATTAAACAGAAAGTTTGCTTTTCAACCTTCAGTTGAATTTGTACCATGTCAAAGAAAACACTATATGGCCAAAAGTATGGAATCAAGCATGTGGACATTCAAACGTTACACCCATATGGACCGTTTAACACTTCAGGTAGTTCTGATTAATCCCAAAAGTCTTGCATGGGATGGAGATTAATGCTCAACGGGGGATAGCAAGTTTGAGTCCCGCTGCAGTCAGCATGTCGTTGTGTCCCTGGGAAAGACACTTTACCCCAAATTGCTCCTGTGGGGATTGACCACAGTACTGAATGTATGTAAGTCGCTTTGGATAAAAGCGTCTAACAAATTGACATTTAATGTATTATTGGCTTTAGTTCAAATTGACCTAACATGGTGTGTAAATGTGTGTGAATGGTAATTTCCCTCACCACCCTCACCTTGTAGGGCAGGCTCTCCCTCTATGAATTCAGTTGATTTACCATCTAGCCATTTGAATAAACATTAGAGCTCTATAAATTGACCATTTGCTATGAGTGCAGAATATCTTTAATTAAAGGGGACCTATCATGCAAAATGCACTTTTGTACGTCTTTTATACATGAATATGTGTCCCCGGTGTTCCAGGGAACTCACCAAGTGTCAGAAAACACAACCCTCTCTATTTTCCTCCATACCCAAATCTCTAAAAAAGGGGCTGCAACGGATCTGATAAAAACTGATCCAGATTTGAACACGTTACTGACGTCAGGACGGTGGTGCTACGGCTATTGGGCCAACTCTCCACCTATCAGGGGAATGTGGGGTTGGGCCACGGCCGGCCATTGCCGCTCGAAAGCGCTGGAGACGCTGTAGTACATATGCCAGGCCTGTAAGTGGCGCTGTAGTCTGCCACAAAAGCAGCGAAGAAGACTTCCCGCCCATAGTTACCCTGGTTACCCTTCCTTCTGTTTATTCTCCGCTGTGGCTTTTTTTCTCCCTCCCCGAGGCAAGTGTTTGCTCCCGCTGCAATGCAATCCCTCCCCGTCGAGGCAAGCACTGTAATTCTCTCCGGTTAGTCCACCAGCAGATGACAAACACCCACCTCTCCGCCTCTTCCAAGGAACGAGGGGACCGTGCGGCAGAGTTTCAGTTTCAGTTTGTTTCGCCGGTCAAGATGTCCGTTAAAGTTTAAATCTTCCGGACAAAATTAGAAAAGTGCCGGTCAAAGGTCTTCTTTGTTATTTATTGAGCTTTAAAACAAATGAATAACGACTCTATATAATAAAACACGGAGGACGGAGATCTCTTTTTCTCCCCCTCTTCTGACAGCCCAGCAGCTGATCAGAGCACGTTTCTCCTCTCCTGCAGGGGGGCGTGGTCAGCAGAATCAGACCCGTAGACAGCAAACAGCACATAGAGCGAAATGAGGCATGGCTAAAATGCATGATCTGTTTGGTATTTTGAAAACAGAAACGTATAAATATACCTTATATAGGTATGGCCCTACAATATATAATTGAAATATAGCATGATAGGTCCACTTTAAGCAATATCTGGTATCTCCTATTATTAGATCATTGAAAAAACATTTGGAAGCATGCACAGGACAGCAGGCCGCAGCAGACTTTGGCATTCAAAGGTCAAGAACATTTCGCCTGGATTAAAACCCCTTTTAATTGTTTAATTACCATGTGGATGAGCTTTGTGACAGGCACCTTGTGGGAGAATGTCAGACCATGAAGCAATGAGCGTCTGATGTATACATAATTGAAAATAAATCTGAATGTGGAAAAGGTGCACCACCATTTTTCATTGCTGCTATGATTCATCCCGAAATATCCAATTCTATTAAATATCAAAGGACATCCTCATGGTTTTTGAGTGCACTCTTCCATATAGAAGAAAGTGCACCAATAAAACACTCTGGGAATTCATGCTATGGTTATATTTCATTTTCGATCAAGCACGTTTTGAGCGTATCCATTGGTTATGATCCACTAAGTGTTGTGCACCTTGTGGGAGAATGTCAGACCAGGAAGCAATGAGCGTCTGATGTATACATAATTGAAAATAAATCTGAATGTGGAAAAGGTGCACCACCATTTTTCATTGCTGCTATGATTCATCCCGAAATATCCAATTGTATTAAATATCAAAGGACATCCTCATGCTTTTTGAGTGCACTCTTCCATATAGAAGAAAGTGCACCAATAAAACAGAATTCATGCTATGGTTCTATTTCATTTTCGATCAAGCACGTTTTGAGCGTATCCATTGGTTATGATCCACTAAGTGTTGTGCCTATTCTTATTCTTGAGCTACATTTAGTGAAATGATGATGGGGATCATTCTTTTTAGGATCCTCACAGACTTGTGCTTTTAGACCACGAGACACACAATCATACCATCTCAGTGGAATCTACCATCTGGAGATAAGATGAGTTGCAGCATGAAGTCTGTGTTTGATTTGAAGTACTTCTGATTATGCTTTCTGACCAGTAACATGTCTAAAATATCCATCATTGAGATTTATTTTCCCCTCCACCTGTCTGGATGTGTATATTTTTTCCAAATTCAGATTGTACCTATTTGAGAAATTGTCCCAAAGGCTTGTAGCTGAGTTGTTTATATTAATTCAGAACAAGCCCTTGTATGTTACCAAGGTGTTTAGCTATTTTCTTGGTTTTACAATGGAAACAATGTAGCCTTTCATTTGTCATACTGACATTATTCCTTCTTATTGTGTCCTCTCCTTTAAGGGCAGAGCCTGGGACACGCTCTGTCAGAGAACACTGGGTTGAGATCACTAAGTCTGGCCTGGAACTGCATCCGAGGGAGAGAAGCTGCGATATTGGCTAATGGCCTAGGGGTAATCCACCTGGAGATTTAAAGTTTGAACACCATATTAGTTTTTCAACTCATTCAAGCAAAAGGTGGTCTTCAGGTAATAATGTGTGAGGTAAAACCAGGACAGTTCTGTGAACTTGTATCACATGAAGCAATACAATAAATATTCATATGAATTCAATTATAATACAATTCAAATTAAGAACATTGCTAATGAAAAGCACTTCTCTCAATTAGTGCATACATTTTGTATCGGTCATGATTTGCTAATGTGGTTTTTGTTATGCAAGGCAAAAAAAACGTAATATCATACTACCCAGGTGCATAGCCTTTTGTTCTTACAGCAAATGGTCAATTGGCTATAGGGCCAATTTTTGACAAGGGCATAGAGGATTTCCAAAACCAGAATCTGAAATGTGGTACAGTAACTGTAAGAACAAAATCATGATATACTCTGATGACACTATTTAGAATGTGTTTATAATGTGTATATTACGTATTTTGATGATGCCGGTTGATAAATGCTACTTGAGCATGCCAGGCTAACTCGCTCATCCTATTTCTGAAACAGCCCCCTGGTCATGTATTCATTAACATCTCACAGCAGGAGGGACTGTGTAAGTGGTTCTTCCTATCTTAGACCCTGTTTACACGAGGACGATACGGGTTGTATCCGCATAGTTTCTCTTGTGTATAGCCCTTTCGTTTACACAAGGCCGTAACAAAACGATAGAAACGGACCCCGCAAACGATAAAGGGTCCCAAGGTGGATAGATCTGCAAACGGAACGCTCTGGGGGGGCAAACGGCTCCGTGTGTACGCCCTATGCGATCATTTTCTGATAGCGATGAAATAGCCCCGCCTCCCTCTCCCCACGTCTCCTGCTCAGAGATCAGCTGTCAGAAGAGGGGGAGGAAAAGAGAGGCTCCGTTTATTATTATTATATAGAGTCGTTATCAATTTGTTTTAAAGCTCAATAAATAACAAAGAAGACCTCTGACCGGCACTTTTCGAATTTTGTCCAGAAGATTTAAACTTTAACGGACATGTTGACCGGCGAAAAAAAAGGTTAATGGAAACTCTGCCGCATGGTTCCCTCGTCCCTTGGAAAAGGCGGAGAGGTGGGTGTTTTTCATTTCAGCGTTTCCAGCGGTCTCATGTGAACGGACACGTTAAATGAATCGAATGCGTGTGAACGGAAGACCTTTTTGAAAACGCATACGCTGCGTAAACGCAAACGTTCCCGTGTAAATGGGGTCTTAATAGGCGCGTTCACACCGGAGTACTTTTCCCCGTAGTTTTCCCGTTTAGTTCCGTTAGTGCCTGGAATTTTGCGTTCACACCAAAAAAAGTACTTAGTTCCGAGAACTTTTACCCCCATTTTTAGTGCCTGCTAGAGAGGTGGTACTATCATGGGGAGAAAAAAGTACCAATTTCGATTGGCTGGGCGAATTGCAAACCACGCCCCGTAAAACTCTGAAAAGTTTTGTGAAGCCGCCATTGTATTTGCTGGCATTAGCATTATTATCATTAGCATTAGCCCCGCGCACCAACGGAGAGAGAATAACTTATGGCAACACAAAAAAAAACATGGGAGTGGTGGAGTGATGAGGAGGTGTCGGCGTTCTGGCGATTTACTCGGAAGGCTTCGAGTCCCAGCAGCTTCTACTGAAGCCAGTCCCCAACTCCGGGGACTTCCAGCCGGGGATTTCGGGTGGCAGTATATGCCGTGAAGTGGTTTGTGGCCTGCCAGTAAACCCAAAGCAGAAGAAGAAGAATTGACGTCAGCGGCTTCATTTGCGTAATCTTCCCACAGGGAACTTATTCCGGTGTGAACGCGATCTGTACTTAGTTCCATGGGGATACTAAGTGCCGGGCACTAAGTACGGCAAAGTACTTGGTGTGAAAGCGGCTAATGATCAAGGAGGTCAAGAGGACCCGGATCAGTAAGCTGCACTGACGGGTGTGATTGATTTAGTTCGTGAGAGACTGATTACATCCGGATCAATACTTCTGCACCCCCACTCTAAATTAAAGTCTTCCTTTGGTCCTCACTCAGTTGATCACATCAGAGAAGTCATTCAAGTATTTCTTGTGATTGCATTTAAATGCTTACTTTAAGCCCCTGTCACACTGTCCCGAAATTGACACCAGATGGACACACGAATATGGAATTGTGAATTTCGCACGAAGATGGCCCCGAAGTTGGTCAACAACCAAGCAACAGCCGAAGCAAGTACGATGCCTACAGAAGGCCACACCATGGCACCCGAACCACACACGAAAATATGGTCGTAGACTTTACTGATGATTTAGAATGTATCCAGACTCAACGTAAGAGCTTGTGCCTCTTCGGGGGGTGCTAACATTTAAACATACACTTTATTCTTTACTTTCTCCGTCTTTATATGTAGATTAGAAGATATTACTTATCTCCGTCATGTTGTTTCCATAGAAACAACAACTTCCTGTCAACAGCGTAAACTCGCCTTCAAAATAAAAGCATCTAAATAAAACAGGAAGTTAACCTAAATTACATTTAAGACATACAACTGCGGTCATACTGGCTTAAGATGCCCTCACGAATGGCCCGATGTTGTTACGATCAGAGCCGAATTTGAACATTTCCTTTATCGTGTGTCCATCTGGTGTCAATTTCGGGACAGTGTAACAGGGGCTTTACCAAAAACGATTATTTCTGTTTTTAGGGAAACATTTGCCTAAGGACAGTGGATCTGTCATTCAATGGCCTTGGTAAAGAAGGAGCCAGTGCTTTAGGAAAGGCTCTGAAAGAAAACACCGTTCTGGAGGAGTTGAATGTGAGGTATGTGTATCTGGTAATCAGATTATTTTATGCTCGCTCTGAGTTACAAATTCAGTTTAGGTCATTCGTATCTTGAATCAGATCAAATGCTGGTCTGTAGTTTACTGAGGGGCCAAACTAACACAAAATATCCTCCATGAGACTCCTAATAAGGCCCACCTGCTGTATCAGATGTGCAGTTTTACTGTCAAATTTTAAACACTGGTGACATTTTTTTTTAAAGTGAGACTGTAAGCATTAACAAAGTGGAGGTAATTGAGTTTCTTTTGCCTTTCTCTTAACATCTGAAGCAAAACAAAGCATGCCTCACAGATTTCCAGATATGTGTGCGCTTCTGTACATGGATGAATAATGCCATTTTTGAAAAAAACAACACTTTATGATTGCTTTCCTCACACTCCAACACTTTATTTGTTCTCTCAAACAATTCTCGCCACAGTAATAACCGAATACCCCCTGAAGGAGCTATCCACCTAGCCATGGGCCTGAAAGTAAACAAGACCATCAAATCCCTGAATGTAAGCTGTTAAAAGATTGATTCTAGCTTCAAAGGCAAGGCAATGGGGGGCATCAGTGGATAAAATGGGATAAATAACTGGATCACTGTATTTGTTTTAATGTCAGCGCCACAAGGACTTACTTCGACTGCCTAAAACAAGTTAGGAATTGTAAAGTTGTGGTGAATAAATACATTGATATTGAGTTACAGTTTAAGCATTTATTGTTGATGACATGCACTCCTAAATTGAAAATGTAGTTGGGGTAAGAATAAACAAGTCTGAAGTAGAAGTCACACCATGACCAGCTGAATGTAGATAGTGCACGATTTGATTTTGTAATTTGTTGGACATTTTTTAAAGGAATAGTTTGACCTTTTTGGAAATGCGCAGATTATTTCTGAAACACTAACAAAGACGTAGCCTAGTCTCTGTGACGCCACCCATACATTTACTTAGAGTTGTTGTGAAGCTCAATGTGGTTGGCTCTAAATGTTAACGCTCAAGCCATCATCAAATTATGAAATTATCTCACGAGACCAAACATGTTTATTGTAACAGGCTGTTAAAATGTATTTTTTTTTCGGGTTGGGTAAAGTTGGGCATTTCAACTTCGGCGTATACAGTAGGATTGATCTTTGTAACCAGCTATTGGCAGAACTGCGGTTTTGGGTAATCGGTCGTTGATTTCATTTTTCAGCACCAAGGTTGCTGCTTGTCTGTTTCCCAAAATGCTTAACTATTCCTTGTATGGCTATAGGAGGATTATTTTTAGATGTTTGGTGTTAATCATTTGCACTATTGCAATTTTCTCACATTATTAATGTTTGTCTTTGGCCAGATGGGTAGGAACCCCATCCAGAATGCTGGGTGCTTTACCATCCTCAAGTCTGTACAAGAAAACCCAGATTCAGCCATGGAAGCAATATACTTCTCGGTAACTCACCGACATTTCCATCTACATCTTCATGAGACTTTCTGCAAATATTCTCCCTTTCAAACTTATTCACTGCTTTTCTGTATCACTCTCTCTAGGACATCACGGTGAACCAGGATTTTGAAGATTTGTATAGGGCAGTGAAAGAAATATTCCCTGCGCTTACAGTTAATCATGGGGGCAGAATTGGCACATTCAGAAAAGCAAAAGCTTGAAAAGTGTTACTGTAATTGCTTACATTTTATGCCAGAAAAGATGGAATAAGTCTTGTCAAAGCACTGTATAAGTTTTCATCGACAAATGAACCAAAGGATGGATGCATGCAAGGATATCATTAAAAAAACATGTCAATTCAAAAAATATATTCCACTAAATGAAAGGTTTTTGTGTGAAATAAACTACCAGATTAATACCAGATAATCTAACGTAAATATAATTAAGCGACTGTTTCTTTGTTTTCAAAATGTTGAGTACCGCATGTGTGTGTGCTTAAAATATGGTGTTGTTAAATATATACAGGTATTGAGTATGATTCTTTTTAGGTATGATCTGATTTGATGTTATATAATGTCAGTGGGTAGAATGATAGAGAGGATCAGAGAGCACCCCATTGTGTATGAAAAGAAGTGAAAGTGGGTTGCACAAAAAGGATATAAGTACTGCATGACTAGTCTAATAGAGAAACCAGCTTTGAAAGAATGATCCACTGTTAGATAAGAGGCTTGTTTACTGCAGCAGAACAACTCCAACAGGGTTAGATACAGGTTGTCTTATTTAAATCCAGGGATAAAAAGGTGCTAAACATTTATACTTACAGTAGCGGCTACAGTATATATACTTAATGTTCTTTGCTTGAGTTTTATATTTTCTGCACTGACATGCCCCATAGTAATTATTTTGTTAAAGGTTGTAGTTCTTGTTTCTTTGTCTGTAGTTGCTTTTCAGGGAAAGGTTTTAAGGTAGCCTATCTGGATTTTGTTTTTGACAAAAACAGCAAATGTAGCTACCAGCTACAACCTTTCAGATTGTACATTTAGTCATTTAATTTAAATCTTTGAATGGTTTCATCCCCCATACAGTAGGCTGTTTGGACTTACAATAATGTATTTGGTAATATAATGTAGGCCTATGCTTTATTTTTTAGGGATGAACCCTTGATGACTAAACGTAATGCTTGTAATATACAAATACTCCAAATACCAAAGCATTAAATTGCCAAGCCTATAGAATGGCATGAATAAAAAGGCCTACAATTAAATTAAATTAAACATGCATGTCCTGCATACAATTAAAGCATCACATTCATGTTTTAAGTAAATGATTTCATTAGCAAACTGTTTTAAATAAAGACAAACTCATCTAATCATGTCTGATGGATTGTGCTTATTGATCCCAGCGTAACTGCGTCACAGAGTCTCGCGTGTTTTTAAATCCCCGGCGGGCTAACTCCTTTAGCAGCTGAAGGGTTAGCCCGGCGTCACAAGACAGAGGGCAGCGCCAGGAGGTAAACATTAACCACACTGCTGCTTTTACGTGTCCAAATAAGTTTTTCGTTGACAGAGAACATGGCGACGACTGTGTGGTCCAAAGGACAGATGTTGTTCGGGTATTCCTCGAGGCTGCACCGAGCAACCAGGTAAATAAGTTATTTTAACTGTACAGCATTATTACATGTTTATTAAAAAGCCTGTGCAACGTTCTGTATGTTTACCTTTAAGTGTAACAGTAAGTTACATTTTAAAATCTAACCTTACATGCCTGAACTTGGAAAATATGTGCGATAGTTTGCTATAAAAACGTTACCAAACAAAAATATTGCTAAATAGACTTTTCTGTGTCTATGCAACACAAACCAAGCTTTTGTGTTTATTTCAGCCTGCATCTTAACTTTATCTATATTTGTATCCACATCAAGTTTAAGAACTGAATGATAAATTGGGTCAATGTATATTGACTACAATATGCTGAAGTAAACACCTTTTTATGTAAGACAGCAGGGTCATTATTAACAAAACAACCAGGCAGTTTTCCAAAGCAGCTTTAATCATTTGCTGGACCTCTGAACTTTGTCCTGTAAAGCTTCACTTAGTTTAACCACCACTTGTTGACATCTTATCTGTGCCTCCACACTGTATGCACCTCCCCTGTATCTGGCTTTATTCAGCAACATATTTTCTGGCTCGATTACTACTTTTGTTATGTTTCAGAGGAGCCATGGTACATTCTAATTATAGTTTCTAATTAAAGCCCTTAAGGTTAATACAAAATAAGTCTCTCTGACCTTGAAAGTTTGATTGGGGATTTCAGAATATTAAATAAAGCCTTAGAAAGTGTCTGTGAATTAACAAGTAAACATATGCACAATATAGCTTCTTCTTAATCCATTAGTGGGCATATACCAACTATCCTCTCTGGGCTGTTCTTGGTCCAACAAACACAGAAATCCCTAAATTGAAGTTAATGTTGACATTGAAGCAGCTTTAAAAATGTTTTAAAATTCAAAGTCCATTAAAAGGGAATCCTTAAACTGTCCTTGGATTGAATGTCATTCTGAGCGTTGAAGCAATATTTAGCATGACATAGCTCTATACAACCAATTACATTTATGGATTGTTTTTGTGATTATTCAAGCCTTAAATAATATTTTTTTTACCTCAACGTATTAGTATCAAAAGTGCAATTGTCCCTGTTTGCTGTAATGCCACTATTATATTCCTTTCCAGTTTATTTTCTTTAGGCCAGTTCCTTTAAAATACCTAAAGACACAACAGATTAAATGATTACCTGTCCCCTCTGACTTTGAGAGACTGTTATTCATTCCTTAATACTGATTAAGTAACAATAGTTACTAAAGTGATTAAAATTCCCCTTTTATCCACTCCAGAGTGGTTGAAAAGAGGTGTTTTCCTGAAGACACAAGCTATGTCATTCATCCCACTCACTCCTACAGTATGCATGTTTTTCATATCAAAGAATATTACCATCTTTTAGCTGATATGTCACGCAGATCTCCACGTCCCTTTTGAGTTTTTCCTTTTTAAATCAAAAAACTTTTTACGTTGTTGCTTTGAGCCTTTGTGAAACTTCTGTCATCTCGTTTCTGTGTAGGAGGTTTTCGGAGAGTGAAGACAAAGGCTGGTTCCGTTCTGTATTTGCGCACAAACTGGATGCCAGGAAAGATGCCCACTCCAACCTGTTGTCAAAGAAAGAGACCAGCAGCCTGTATAAAATTCAATGTAGGCATAAAGATCTATACTTTGGTTCAAGTGAAGGTTTGACTTCATTCAGTGTGAGGCTGCAGAGGGCCAGACACAAGTCAATGGGATACAGTTGCATCATATTATAATGACATTGATTCTGTTTTATGTTTCAACAGTCCATCATCCATTTATCTCTGTAGAAAATGGCTAAACAAATAATGTTGATACAATTAAATCTGGCTTCAGTGACCTCAGAGAGAACTATATGTTACATGACATTACGGACAAGCACAGCTTTGCACTTTAACACATTTTTGTTATATCATACATATGAAACATACAGGCAGCAACAAGTCAATATATTATAGTGTGAGGTGAGGTGCCAAGTCTGTACAGTTTTAAAGCGACATCAAAACAATGTTTTCTTTTGAGTCTGTGGTGATAACTGTGTCTGTCTCTTGTAGAGAAATATATCATTCTTCCTAGGGCTTTGATCTTTTTTGTGGCGTACATCACACCATGTGGGGATTTCAATTTGAACACTCTATTGGCCGTAGCCTATAACCTATTGAAAGCAAATCAGTTTTTTGAATAGGAGCCTGTGCTGAATCGGAGTGTGAAATTACTTTGTTGAGGAATTTTAAGGGTTGCTTTTATACAAAAAAAAACACCTCTTTGTGATATGACTGTCTTTTTTCTTTTCAGTTCACAACGTCAAACCAGAGTGCATGGAAGCATACAACAGTCTAGAGTGAGTGTGTTCACTGCTTTAAAACGTATCTTGCATTTATTCAAACAATATAGTATATTTCGACAAGTATGAAATCCTTTGCATGTCTAATTAGGTTTCTTTCAAACGTACATTTTGAAAACCTGCATTTCCACATAATTAAAGACAGATTAGGTAAATTATGCTTTCAGTTAACGAGCTGCTAATTATATTTTGTTTCGTATAATTCTGAGATGGAAAATATTGCATAATAGTCCTGCAGAATCTCAAGAGTAATTAATTGTAAAATTGAAGTGATATCTTGGGTGTAACAGCAAGATGGATATATGTGGACTTATTACTCTCTGAGGGGCTTCTAGTTGTTCCTGGTGACAGTATATTATGACTTCTGGCACATTCACAATTGATCAAATATTGTAATATTTGTTATGCTGCCCTTAGGGCTGAGGTGCAAACCAGGCTCCATCTGGACCAGGATTACCCATGTGAGGTGGTCGGAAGCTGGAATACCTGGTATGGAGAACAGGACCAAGCAGGTAAGCAGCAATCACAACCGTAAACAGACAACATGTTACAAAATAAATAAAGAAGTGTCACATCTTATTGATCACATTCACCATTTGTTTGAGGGTTAGTTCCTTTTTTCTGGCCCCATGAATGTTCATAGCTGCAGTGAATTGTTTGGCAGAGCATGACAGAGAAATGTACAGACACTACCAGATGACTCACCGCCAGCACTTCTCCCCCTACATATGCTCATTTACACTGTATAATGTACATTAGGATCATTCAGTGACAGCCAGAAGTGATCACAATGCATTGGACTGTGTCTGTTTGCTGTGTGGGTGGCTTCAGTCCTCACACAGTGCTGCAGTGACATCTGCTGCTCTGTTTGTTGCAGTGCATCTATGGCGATACAGAGGAGGATACCCGGCCTTGACTGAATGCCTGAAGAAGCTGAACAATGACAAGGTTGACTGTGAACTGTTTCTTAAGCGTTAACCTTGTTGCACAGAATGGAAAAACTGATATTTAAAATGCAATTTACACTGATTTGAGTTTTTTTATCAGCATTCCAGAATTTCCTTTTCAATTGAGCAAAATAAAAGAACTGTATCGTATATCTTATTGAAAACATTTGTATCTCCCTTCAGGCGTATTTCGAGTTTCGCAAAGAGAGGGCAAAAATGTTGATTTCAAGGCGAAATCAGCTCCTCTTGGAGTTCAGTTTCTGGAATGAACCCGTGCCCAGACCAGGACCAAACATCTATGAAATGCGAACATATTTTCTCAAGGTATATCCACATATATTGTACATATTAATGCCATGACTAACATGTTCCTGCACTTTACACTATAGATTTTATTTTCAGAATGATATAGAATAGACATGAGTCAGTTCTCTCAGTTGGGTAGTTTCATTCAAATAAAATACTAATGAAGCTTTTCATATATTAAGACTACAAATGGACTTACAGTTTGAATTAAAGGTATTAGTTTAAGGTTTCTGAAGATGTATTTTTTTAATAAATCACATTTATAGAAGTAACATACTAATTTAACCCCCGTGAAAATGATAAAAATGTCGGACGTAAATTCTCTGTGCAGCAGATTTTTTATTTGTTAATGGTCATCTCATAATAAATTAACCCATACATAATATTACAGTTATTTAATCCCCTACTAGTATGTAAGGCTACCAAATTGTTGCAAAAAACATAATTTTTACAGGAACACTAATATTTATAACTAGAGAATGCAATTCCTGAAGAAATTGCTTGTGGGAATGCTTTATGCTGAAAAGCTGACGCTAAACTGCTATGCTGAAATATAATGTGTAAGAAGAAAGTGAAGAATTTAGATTGAAATGATGCATGAACACTGGGGGCTTGAATGTGTGATGAGAGAAGAAAAGAAAGTAAAAAGGCTTGGAAAAGCAGCAGAATATTTTAACTGCAAACTTTTGAACTAACTTGATGGCGAATGATCTGTCGCCATGCCAACGGCATTTGATGACATCCCATAATACGCTTAGATGCGTTGATGGCTGCATTGTTACCAAACCTGGTTTGTGTTGGGCCGTTTGGAGCGTTTTCACTGAAGTTATGAGAAAACCGTGTTTCATGGTGAGCATTGTGTTGCCATGGCAACAGCATTTGAAGAAATCTCAAAACTGTCCCGTAGATGTCTTCACGGCTGGACTGTTAGCACACATGTGAAGTTTGAGCACTTTTTGAACATTTTCATAGGAGTTATAGCGACATCGTCTTTTATGGCGAGGGATGCGTTTTCATGGAAACGGCATATGATGACACCCCATAATTGACGTAGAGCTGTTAGGGCTGGACCGTTAACCATTATTTGAAGTCTGGTGCTCTGAGCATATCAGTTGGAGTTATGACATCATCGTGTTCCATGACACAGGTGTTTATATTTGAGCTAACGACGTGTCCAGAGATCAAAGGTTTCCATGGTGATATAATAAAGAATTTCGTGTGTAGCATAACAGATATTTGGAATGCTGTATCAGCATTCCCACTAAATAACCTACAGTACAGTGAACATACTAGAACCAAAACCAGGGAATATTTAGAAATTCACATATTTTCTTGTCAAAGACTTGTATTTACATAACATAGAGTGGGAAGCTTCCCCATTATGTAGGAATTATATAAATAATTCAAATAAATGTGGCAAAGGCTCAAATGTGTTGAACAACACATTTGTAACAGGTTTGTTAACCTCTTAAGCCCTGAGCCTGTTTTTCAGGTCTCAGGCTCGAAAATGACATTCCCAGAACAAATGACCATATCTTCCCTTCTAAAAGGGTTAAATTAATAATCTTTATTCTCAAAGTAATGATAAACCTGTGAGTTGGATGTAGAAAAGTCAGAATCAATATAGATGTTTTTTATTTTAAAGAAAATTCAGATTTTACATAGTAAAAAACTGTAAATTATAGTGTCCGTCCAACATTTTTTTTTACTTATAGTGAAAACTACCCTTGGATGATGGGTTAGTAGACTAAAAGCTTTAGGAATCCAAAGTACAACATATAATAAGTACCCTGTATCAAGATTGATGCAAAACAAGTGAAATTTGACCTTTTTAGAGAGATTTAGCCAAAAACCCCCACTTCTGGGGTCATTTGGGTGGATTTGACCTATCTCTGGCCCCCCTTGCTCAATTTTGATGAATGAAATCTCTTTATAACCGCTAGAGCCAATGGAATCGAGGGAAAGTTATATACACACCAAAACGTTAACAAATAAGGAGTGAGAGTGACGCGTTACCAAAACCGGAAGCTGCATACACTCTGGTGGCTACCATTAGCAGCTGACTTTTCCGCTCCGATTTTTACATACAAAATGGAATTATGGATTATAAATAATTTCTTCAAAGGCACAGGTACATTATCAACCTATGGATCAACAGTTGTAGCATTTTTTCTTTTCGTTTTAATGCCATTGAAAACGTCTTTTGACCTAATTGACAGCTACGGTGAGACAATCTGCCGTAAAAGCTCCGTAAAGGTACGTGTTGTGATGTCTGTGTTTGCTTCCCCTGTCGCAAGTTCGGATCACTCAGTGATGATACTATACCTAAATAATCAGTGGAGTCTCAGCTTTAATCGGCTATATTGTATGTGCAGCTACGATAAGTAATAAGGGTATCTTTATCTTGAATTGTGTGCCGCAGTGCGTTAGAATTTTTTCGCTCAGGGGTCATTTAGACGATTCTTATGAGACTTGTGTTTTGTTTTGGTAAAAATGGTTCATATCTTCAGTTAGCTGAGATTCTTCCCGTTAATCTGGTGCTACACATTAATAGTTTCATAATAGTTAAGAAGCCCTGAGACATTATCTTGAAAAAAAAACGGTGGGAGGGGTCCAATGGGGGGACCGCCGTGCTTAAGAGGTTAATTGACCAAAAAATGTGAACAGTTGGAAGATTGAAAATGGGATTATTATTAGGATTATTTGTAGGTCATTGAAAAGTAGAATCATTTAGAAAGATGTGAACATTGAAGTTTCTATTTTAGAAAAGCTGACACTGTATAGTGCATCGCTGGTTTTAAAAGTGATTTATAAGAGTCATGTTTAAAGATGTGCAATACTTAAAGTGGACCTTTCATGCTATATTTGAAAAATATATTGTAGGGCCATACCTATATAAAACATGTCTGTGAAGTTTTTTTTTTCAAAATACCAAACAGATCACCCATTGTAGCCATGCCTCATACTGCTCAAACCCCTCTTTTGCAGCCCTGTTAGAGAAATGCAGATTTTGTGTCCTTAGCTTGAACAAAAAAAAAAAGAGGAGGCGGAGCTAATGCCTGATCTGAATTCTACCGGAGTTAAAGTTAAATTCGGTTGTGATAAAACGCCATCCTGTTTAAACCATGTCAAGGATTATTTCTGAAATAGTATGGAGCACAAATGCTTTTTCTCTTGCAGGTTTATCACAAGGTGAGATCTTTTTTTTATTTCCTGCTTTTTAAACACATGTGCTCTTCAGTACAGGTTAGCTCTGAGTGTTAGCGAGGCTTGCTAATGTAAACAAAGACGTCCAAAACACGTCAGGCATTGTTTCTGATAGCAACTTTCTGTGGGTCCGCCGCCGCTATGACGTCACAGCGGATGGACACGTCACAGCGGATGGAAATCTGTATCCGCTCGTGTAACCGTTTTTAAAAGATTTGGGTTTAAAAGAGAGGGTTTTATTTTCTGACGCTGCGTGAGTTCCCCGACGCACCGGGGACACATATTTATGTATAAAAGACATCACAAAGTCCATTTTGCATGATAGGTCCCCTTTAAAACGTTTATAAAGATCCTCTGAGTGTGTGTCATTAGTTAGCTGATAAAATGTTAGGGATAAATACCTTGACCTATTGACTACAAGAGCTTGAATCAAACAAGCAACCTTGTATTTGAAAGATTAACTGACATAGCAACAGTCGCACGTGGTGTGGCTGAGTACTTTAAAGGGTTCATGAATAGAGGGGACTTGAATGTGAAATAAGAACAAGAAACAAGAAAATAAAAGTCTAAATGCATGAAAAAGCAGCAGAATATTTGAACTGAAAACTTTAGAACTAAAAGCATACGTCACCAATAATGTCTAAAATATGTGGAACATGTTGAAGTCAGAATGAAGTCTCCATCAGACGGAAAAGAATAGGCTGAGACAGTCTGTTAAACTCCAGTGACCACGTCATTAGTCTGCTGCTCTAATTATGTCAATTGGAGTTATGACATCATCGTGTTCCATGACACAGGTGTTTATATTTGAGCTAACGAGGTGTCCAGAGATCAAAGGTTTCCATGGTGATTAGTGAGAGGAAAGCATTTTCATTGTTCTGAATGAGAAATAAACCTGTTACATGTGAACGTTTTGTTGAAGAACCGTAACAGATATCGGTGAAATTTCAAAGCGTGAAGCATGTCAAGGAACTTGAGCATCTGAAGTGTACTTTTTGTATACTTTCGGGTTAATAATGTGGCCTTTTTGGCAGATTAACTAAAGGTGTGCGGCTGCTGTGGTGGGGATCGATGAGGCTGAAGTTACAATGGAGTTTAATGGAGACATGTTGAATGTTTTTGTCACTTCATGCCCTCAAGATGCATTTTGTTTAATTATTTTGCTTAATTTTATTTTATCTTTCAAGCTACGAGATGTTTTCCTACGTTTGTCATGAAAAATTATGTCTCAGGAATGTAGGGTTTGGGAATTATGGCAGGTTTAAAAGAAAATATGAAGTCTTCCAAATTAAATCTGTCCTCCACTCTATCTGTGACATCACGCACTCTAAAATATGAAGAAGGCCTCTTTACCAAGGTCTGAACAATGTTTAATATCTCTAAAAGTAAGAATCAGATTTAAAAGTTGTGTTACACGAATAATGTCAGAAAGATGTGTAACATTTTAAAGTTGGAATGAGGTTTCTGAGTGAAAGTATGAAGGAGCAGTTAGCAGTTGAAGAAGGAGCATTTAGCAGTTGAAGTTGCATGAAGATTGTTGAAGTCTGAAGAGTTCTCCATTGACTTCCATGTTAAAAATGGGATGTATTATGGGATGTATCTCTGGAATTATGAAAGTTATGAATGATAAAAGTAATAGCCATTGATTCCCGACCAAGCTGAACGTTTTGATCTTTGAACGGAGTTTCTGTGATGTTCAATGTGGGAGAAGAAGCAGCGCAAAATAACCCGGCGGAATAATAAAGAATTTTGTGCGTAGCATAACGGATAGTTGGAATGCTGTGTCAGCATTCCCACTAAATTACATATTCTTTGAGTGTTTATCATGGCTTAGCTGACACTGATGAATTTTGTTTGCCAAAGTATGTAATATAACAATTTGTATCACAGAGCAGCCTGCCCATTAACTGAATGTGAGAGCCACTTTGTACACATACAGGTATTATTAACATGAGGATGGTGCCTTTTTAAATCAGGCTGAAATGTTCAAGCCTATGAGCCAAGGGGATCTTTGTCCATGCTAGTTGTTTACCATCCCTGTTTAATACAGTTGTATGGTACTATACACATAACTGCATTTAAAATATTTTGCATACCTTTGGTCTTCCTGTTGTCTTGAAAGAATTATATTTTTTTCCTCTTTTCTCTCACATTAATGACAAGAGGTTAGGAATTTGTTCTTGTTCAATCATACTTGTATTCCACCCTGCCCATGCTCATACTAGCCCTTACAAATGCTAATAGTGTGATTTTACACCTTTTTTATTCACAGTTGACTTATTGGGTGAGCTGTCCACACATTTAGAGGTGTACCTGATAAAGTGGTTAAAAACACAACTATGATCAAATCTGTGTGCAACCAAATCTGAAGTTCTTCCTGCATATGGTCTCATGTGGCTTATTGAGTTGGTCGGTCCGTGTAAAATAAACAAGCTAAGTCATGTTTGAACTGTTTTAATAATTTATCTCCACACTTGTGTTTCAGCCAGGAACCATGATTGAATGGGGAAACCACTGGTAAGGCTTAATATTTTCCTAAAAATAGATAATATCAGCCGCCTGAACTTTTTCAGAAGTAAGCATTAAGTATAACCGGTGTTTAGGTGATCATTATACCCCTGAAAATAACATGTCTCACAACAGGGCGAGGGCAATTATGCACAGACAGGAAAACAACGAAGCAATCGGCGGCTTCTTCTCACAGATCGGGGACCTATATGTTGTTCATCATTTGTGGGGTGAGTATGTTACATAACAAAACATTCAATAATTTGGTAAATCTTCCGCTATAAGTTATTTGTACAGCCAAAACTACAATTTGCCTGATCACTTAACTTAGGGAAGCTAAAGGTTTTATATAAGTATCATTTATTTATTTACTCATAATGTAACATTCGGTTTGGTTACTTTTGTTTGCAGCGTATGAAAGCCTCCAGTCCCGAGAGGACACCAGAAAGTCTGCCTGGCTGAAGGACGGATGGGATGCAAATGTGTATTATACAGGTCTGAGAGAAGCAAACAACCACACATACACTCCCAAGAAAATCATCCACAGTTAAACCAAAAGTGTCATATCATCATATATTTGTATTTTAAAAAGAGGGATTCAGATCAAATCAGTGACTGAATTTGTGGCTTAACTTCCATGAATGCAATAAGAAGTGCTGCTTCAAATACTATGGATAGGATTGCAGATAGGAGCTTAATCAGCCTGTAAAATAAACATACTTTACATTTGAAACACGATGTGAAGCACTGCAGACATTTTACTTCACAGATGCAGTGAGTTTAAAAGTACATAGAGAACTGGTGTATTGAAATATAAAGTTAACTGGACAGAGATCATCCTCAGTGGTTTTGGAGAAGAGAGCCCACAGGTGGATGCTGAGGAAGTGAAAGGAGCAAAGATGTATTTACCAAGAGAAATCTTTTAGCAGCATAGTGAGCAGGTAAGCACAGGGTTATATGTGAGTTAGCATATTAGGGAGACGCTTTCTTGCCTGTATAAAATATACAGGCAAGTACTCAGCCTCAGCTCATTAAGACACATTTATAGCTAGATAGATATCTCAATAAGCAATATTAGCAATATAAGTATTTTCTGAGATTGTAAAACGTGGTGAAAACAGTGAACATGATGTGAGTATTCTGTGAAACAATGTAAATAATGTAACAGTTGCAGCAAATTACCCTTAATTGTATTGTCTTTAAGATAACGGGTTACTCTCTCTCTCTCCTCAGTGCCATTGATCAGAAGCATGGAGTCTAGGATAATGATCCCCACCAAAAGTTCACCCTTACAATAAGAAGATGGTGGAACCTGGGAGCATGAACTACATCTCATTCACCTACTGCCAGAGCAAAATGTAATAATAATAATACATTTTATTTATCAGGTGCTCAATTTGTCAGATTGTTTTCATCTGCTGGATGATCTGTATTAAGTTCAAGTATGTAAATTGATTCAATAATTGCACAGCAGCCAGCCAGTTATGCAAATTAATGGTGAAGAGTAGACTTTGAGGATCCTGAAAATTCAAGAAGTTTAGGTAAAATAGTAAAAAAAAAATAGGATGAATAATGGTAATGGGCGTGTATTTGTATTTCACAATAGTCTCCACCCAGGCTTTTATGATTGCACTTTTATGACTGGAAATGAATCATAGTGAATGAGATCACAATGAGCTTCACAGCTGTTTGATTGAAAATAAAACTTGTCGAACCTCACACAAATATCTGATCATTTCGCTGTTTCAACAGTAAGATGCGGAACTGAGGCAGTCTGTATCTTCGTAAAAAAAGTTGGCAAAACAGCAGTGTGGTCCTTGTAATACCCATGACTAATGTTATTAAGACTTGTATAAAGGCTTAATATAAATTAAGCAAAACTAAGTTAAACTGAACTTTTTAATGGGTAGGCTACAAGTCACCCTGTGCCAGTTTATTTGGGAGAATTTGTAATCGCTTTCTCATCCATGGCACCAGCATCTCTGAAATAAACTAATTAACAAGTTATATTGGTTCTTTTATCAGTACAAAAACCAAATTGCTTTAAAAAAGCACATAATGCTGACTGTTAAACCACAACATGTCGTTTTAAAATTAAACATTTCTGTACACATTTTTGACCATTTGTAACCCAAGTATATACCTTAATGTTTGGCCATGTGGTGCACGTGTACTTTAATTTGAAGAAACTTTCATTTCTGTTCGCAGTTGAAAAATGTATGTGCATGCGCGGGACATTAAACATAAGCCTGTCTCTTTAAGAGAAGGGGGCGTGTCGTTTCTGGTGCTGTCCCTTTATTTGAATATACAGTAGTTCTGCGAGGCTGGAGTCGGATTGCGTCGGATGTTTTTCGCCTTGTGAGAGGAGCACAGCGGGACATGGTGGTCGTAGTCGTCGGTAATGCTCATCATCCAGGCCTATATTTAACATTTGAATGATACCACTCAGCTAGGAAGGCGTTTTCTCCGCCGCATGCACACTCGAGGAGACGACACTGCACGCTACCGACAATATGGACTTGCACATATTGGACCACAGGCTCCGAGTCATCAGCATATCCAAGAATGGGCTGGTGAATTTCACACACCCCCTGATTAAACTGATATTCCTCCGGAACAGAACACGGTAAGAAGATTATTATTGATCGGGGTCAAATGTTTGTGTGAATCACCCCGGTAATCCAGTACCGATATGAAATAACCCACAGCGCCTTTTCATTCACTGGGTGGCAGAGCCATTACTGGGGGTATCTGCCTGTGCATGCCCTGCTCTGCCTCCATGAGGGAGCTACTCATATGCATGTAGCTGTTGGGAATAACAGTAGATTATGACGTATATTTAACGTTTGTAAAACTGCACATTAGCCAAAAACAGGCCCTTTCTTTGGGAATGCATTCTAACAATGGAGATTTGATATATATTCATTATATTTCTTTATTATCTAGGTTACATTTGAATAAACCTGCACCAGTAAACACTTTGCATGCTCTTAATATGCATGTATGTTGTAGTCCTGTGAAATACATGCACGCATACTTTTTTTTTTGTATATGTTGCTTCAGCAGAACATTGATAACATCTCTAAAAAGACATTGTTTCTCCAACACAAACTTGAACTTTGACCTCCTTTACCCAAGGCCAACATCCCGTTTGCAAGTTGTACGCATCACATGTTGGCATTTGTACCAGTTTTCAGTTAATCCCTGGATATCCTCCCTTTGTTATGTCATTGTTTATTACTCTGGCTGCCCCACATATGCATGGCTAGAGCTCAACATCTGTCTTTGAGCTGCCCGTGATACATGACAGGCAGTGGCTTAGCTACATTTCAAGATACGAAGAAGTTGTCAGAGAAGATTTTCTTCCTCTGATTGCCTTTGTGCTCTGTGACTTCTGAAGTCTAGATAACACAACATCCTTGAGGATTTTAGCATCTCATAAGTAACAGCCCTTTAATATTCTGTTTATTTGCAACAGGACTAACCCATGTCGACGAGTGAGTGGATCATCATCCTGGAAAACACTTACTGTTCATATCTTGTCAATTGACAGATACATTAGATTTATATCTTGTCCTGTCAAATGCTTCACATCCATTCATGCCTAGCTGCATCCATCATCATGCATTTGTCTCAGAGCATAGGATGAGACAGTAGGTTTTGACATGTCCATACCAGACACACTGGCATGATGACGTTATAAACTACAAGGCCTATCCTAAAAAACTAACAAGCCACTGTGAATAATACAAGTACTGTAATTGCGTCAGTATTTCGAAGGCACATGCCAACAGGTTCCTACTGAGCAATATTATCAGGAACTGCAGCTCCCAGATTTACAGTTAGTGTTTTACTTTATTTAAAAAGTGTTTGCCTACATTTTTACCTAAACAGGCGCTGTGATGCAGTCACTGTGAGTGTGGGGGGAAAGTAGGCCTGGCCAAGAATGAACCAGAAAAAGCATGCAGGCCATTCTTCCTTTGATTAGTATGTTTTTCAGTGTGTTGTTTTGCATGCTTTGGTGTTATATCATCATACTGTGGCATTATTGTGTTTTGCTTGGTTTTTCCTGTTCTTTTTCTATAGCATGGTTTGTTTACCCTCCCCCCATCCTCTGTGTTCAAACTATAGACGATTGAGATTGGGGAGTGGTGGAGAGAATTGAGTTCATAGCAACTAAAAACAATGGAGCAAAAACAAGCCTGATTGCCTTGGTTGGTTTTTGCCATCTCCCTCTTTCAGGCCCCTGCTATTCATTAGCAAACAACTCCCTGTGAATGCACTCAAAGTGATTTGAAAGCAGTCCTGAGCATAATTTTAAGAAGGTTATAATCACTTATAGGAGCTAGACTTATCTGAAATTGTAAGAATGTCGATGTTCCTTTTTAACATCATCCAGCACAACTAAGGGATTAAAACACCTGTGGAGGATGAAAGTAGTTCGAGACTTTGCCTTGTCAAAAAATTAGAACCCTTTTTGATGAGGCACAACATTGCATCAGCTTCAATGTTAATCTGTGATGATCAGCTATGTTTAGCTATTGTCATCAAAAGGGTTAAGGTATGGGAAAAGTCAAATGTCCTCATACTGTAAGGGAGGATTTAGCTCAGGCCTTTTGTTTGGTTTTAGGGTGGTTTTGCCATGAATCATGTTCGATGTGTGCTATAGTGGTAAGGATTACAGGCAAAGAGAATGAGTTTTTTTATTTGCTTGTATGTATCTTCATGCACTTTTACAAAAAGTGTAAGTATGCTTCTGTTCAACACTTTTATTAGCTTGCAAGCTTTCATTTTATACATAGTTGTAATTTGTTGTTTGGAGTGTATGGTAGTAAACTAAGCCCAGTACTCAGCCCAAAAATATCGGTGTTGCTGTACTTTAGATGCAGCCCTGCAGGCTCCACAGAGTCCTTCTTTCTTCTTTTTCTGCAGCTCCCTAACGAGAGCATGGGTTGGAACAATGCCTCAGCTGAGCCAGAAACCCCGGTGGCGAGTTTTCCACTTGTCTGCTTCAGTGAACTGTCAAGGTTGGGGCTCTTGCTCCCCACTTTTGCACAAGGCTGCCCCCCTGCCTCTAATAACATGCAGGCATTTGAAGAAAAAAAAACAACCTTCCCCATTGTTCTGAATAAAGAGTAGGTCGTGAGAACGCTACAGACCATTTTTTCGAAAGCAGCCGATGTAGCCGACAACTTTGTCGTCCACTGTCAGTGGGGCTGAGGTGACTTGAGGATCCTTCCTCACGCTTCAACAACATCAGTTTTCTCCGCTTCTTATCATGTTTCCTCAGCTGGAGCATGAGTTGCACAAACCCCACAACCACCTACCGCCCATTGCTTTGTGCAGCTGGATCAAAGTCCAGACTCTGGTATGCTTGGTTTTCATCTTCCCCACTCAGCCGCTTCCTCGCTACCTGTTGCTTCCTCGTCCTTTTTTTGTTATTTTTCGTCTCCTCCTATTTGTGTTCCTTCATGCTTCAATAGAAGAAACTTGTTTTTCAAACACACTACCACCAGTGATCATACACAAGCTAATCGTCACTGTTTCAGAGTGCTGTACGAATATGTTTATGATTAGTTGACTTATTATTGACCTGAAATGTTCCCATGGCACTCATCAGGCAACAGTCCAAAACCAAATGCATTCAAATTGCACTGACTGATATTTACCAAGAAAAGAAGCACACAGCCCCACTAGAGAAGCTGATACTTCTCATTCTAATTGATCATTTAAAATAGTTTTGTTTCACTTGATCAATGGATTCATCTGTATTGTTTTCAATGATTACAGACAATGGGCTGTGCTGAGGCCAATATCATAATCGTTTTTACATGTCTTGTTTCATCTGGTTGGGTAAGTTGCTTGGAAGATGTGGGGGAAGCTGTCACTTCTTCAGAAGGGCTTGTCAGATGTTTGAATAGATTAGGAAAGTCACGCACACATGCACATGCACATGCACATGCACACACCTTCCAACATCAGAATTGGCCGTTTTACCCCAGAATTGAACTAGTCTGTTTATGCTACAGAAGGGGCCAGGGATTTAACTTATCTTTCTATCTCTGTTTTTTTAACTTATTACATTTTTGACATAACTATTTCTGTCACTTAGTGCAACGCTATCATTGACTTTCTGGAGAGACTGTCTGAAAATGTGCACCAACATTATCCCATATATATATATATATATATTGCCTCTCCTCCCTATCTATGACACCCTGTTTTCTACTCTGCTTTCAGGTAGTGGGAACAACTTGAACATATTTCATTTCCGACAGGGTTATACAACACGTTGTACAAACAAGTTATGTTGAGCAGAACCAAAACCTTGCATACTGTGTTCCATTTGGGCTGTATTTGTCCTCTACTTGTCTGTTTGTCCTTTTTATGTGTTGCTAAAAAAAGATAAAGTAAGGGCAGTAAGCTTTATTATGGGGAGACATTGGGTTGGCCCTCTTTTTGCATTCATTCCACCAAGTGATATATTACAACATCTTCGTTTTACTGATTAGATTAGTTTTTTGGAAGGACATGTATAATTAATTTCTGCAACAACAGATATAAAGTTGTCTTTGCCCTTCATAAGAAGTGCAGGGGTGTACTGATCATAGGTAATGTAAAGCAATACTCCTTAGACTGATGTGAGGAAGATGAATAATGATAGGCAAGTACATCTTTCTGTGTGCTTCTCAGTATGCTTAATTCAGTCATGAAACTTT